ATACTGACAAGGTTTTGCTAGAACATCTAGCTCACATTCATCATCTGTTATCTGTACAACCATCATTTCGTTCATACTTTGTCATGTATTTTTATTTAGTTTAGGATAAAAATAATGAAAATATTTTTTTATGCTAATATTATTGACTCTGTCTGGATTAATGGGAAGTGTGTGTTCCCTGAATAGTCAAAGAAACTAAAGTCTGATTAAACATTCAAAGACCGATCAGATTGATAATTCATATTCCTATGGAACATCACATCTCATTGATCATTTAAAATATCTGTAGTCACCCGTGTATAGCAGAACACCTTGTATGATCCAGCCAATTCTGCAATTTACCAGTGAAGGTGAGAAGCTTATCTCTGCGAACCAGAGTAGTTTCCTGTGTTTTAGGCAGTGTGGAGCAGAGAGGCACCGCCTATAAGATAACACCAAAAAGAGTAAATGAAACCATCAGATACGAAGATGACATGTGATCTACAACCACTATTGTTGTAAGCTCATTTTAGTAGTTGCTCATTCACATCACGCAACACCAAACAGCGCTGAAACATAGCTTTGTATTTGAGTTTTTAATTTTTTAACTCTCGTGAAATGATTATTTGTTCAGTTTCTGTTGTTTCCAGAGGAGTGACGGCTGATTACAGTTTTAAAAAATTCATACATATCCCAAACCGTAAAGGGTCTTACTGGTTGTTTAAGTGTTTATTTGATTCTGACAACAAAAACAAGCTACGGAGAGCAGAATGGAGATCAATATCCTGTCTGCTTGAAAGGGTTGTGGTAAAGGCTCCGAAAGCATTGTTATGGTTTCGTTTATTACTGTGTGTGCATGTGTGTGTGTGTTAGGGGTTGCATGACTTAATTTTTTTTAAAGTCGACAGTCAAGTAATGAAAATCGAGTTGACTTCGACTAGTCGTTGATGACATCATACACCTGAAGTGGCACGGGGGGGGGGGGGGGGGTTTCGGTAGGTTCGCTGGAGTTTTTGTCAATTAAAATTGCGCCCACATTTTCTAAGTTAAACAGATCTCTTTTAACAACGGTAGTTTCTGCATCCTACTTCAGCCCTCTCCCCCCTCCCCCTGCTTCAGCCCTCTCCCCCCTCCCCCTGCGCTGCAGCCGCAAACTCACTGATGCGCCTGCAGCCTCTCAGAGTTCCTGCTGCTCTAAATATTAAAATAATTATTTCATTTTCTGTTCCTCACTTCTGATTACCTTCAATGGTGTCTGTTTGTTGCAACCACCAGGTACAAAAACTAACTTGTTTTTATTTGACTATTTTTCTGTCCTGCCTGTTTATTATCTTCCTGCATCTCCTCTCAATCCTAAAGAAAAACTGCTACCTGGGTTCATATATATTCACCTCATGAGTTACCTTTGAACTGCAGTTCTAAAAGATCTACCGACCGCAAAAACAGCGGAGTGCCGCTGCTTGCCGGCCGACTACAACGGGACCGTTTTTGCTGCGGAGTTCGTGCCGGAGCGGAGCGGAGATAGTGGAATTTTGGGGGTGCGCCGTCACCAGAGGACAAAACAGGTTATGCGCCTCGCTCCGCAGCAGCGAAACGCATCAGGCACAAATAACAGACAGAAAATATTAAAGGAAATGAGCCGACATGAACGATCGCGTGTTTAATTTGTTTTTGAGGTGGTGACACCTGATGTGGCGGTGCTCAGGACGCAGATGTCTGGAGCGCGTCAACGATCAGAGCTTTGCATGCGCAAGCTGGTTAAGATTAGGATGGGAGTGAGGGGAAGGTAAAATTGCAAGAGGGAAAAGGTCACAGTTTGGTTAAATGTCCGTTTTACCGCCGGTGTCAGTACCGACACTCTGGCACAGCGAGTCGCCTCTGCCTCCCGACGCGCAGGGGCTCATCACCTGCTGTCTTTTCCGAGGACTGCATCTTGTCAGTCATTATCACGTGACAGCGACTAGTCGATGACAGGCATAAAAAGTCACTACAGAGCCGTGAAGTCGACTAGTCGACTAGTTCATACAACCCCTAGTGTGTGTCCATCCAGTATTCATTATCATTGGAGTATCAACGTGTAAGGGGGCTGATCTAATCTCTTTGGCTCTCTCTGAAATGCTGACAAGCTGCCTGCATCCACTCCAGCCTCGGGCATCCATAAAGAATTAAAGATCTGTGTGTGCAGCTCCTCCTTCTGCGCTGCTGCAGAGCAACTACCTCCCTCACCAGCCCTCCAATGCGGGCCTTAACTATAATACACCATGACTAATAGTCAAACATTCAAAGTGCTTGAAATAAATAATAATTGATTCAGTTTAGTTTATAACATTATTTCAGCTATTTAAACACCATGCCTTGTTTGGATCTATTATAGCTCATCCAATTAGTTCAAATGAACTAGACTTGAACTAGAATTTTCCTAATCGAGGAGGGTTTTTTTTAACATAAAAGGGTTCAAATTAAACTTAATAAAAAGACTCAAGTGAATGAGACACTTTTTCTTGCATCATATGGGTCCAATTGCACCTAGTCCTGTGTTTCAGGTTGTGTTTCTTTTTCTAGTCACACTCTGTTTGGGTTATTGGAACCTTACATTTTGGACATTCTGCCTCTGAATGCATTCAATTATGTTTTTTTAACCACATTTGGTCATTTCAATAAAATGGTGTTAAATTGAGAAATGCCACATTTATATTCTCCCTGTGTTAAAAGTACATTTAAACATATTGTGGCTCTGTGAATTATTTTTCAACTGTTTCTTATGACTTTCAGATGCTGTTAATTGTCCAAAAGGAACATCTGTAATATTTAAGCTTTTCAAATTAAACAGATTCGAGTCAAAACCCTACTGGCGCATGGAAGTCCTGAATAGCACAGACCTCATGGACTTTACAGTTTTAAAATGACAGCAGGCATAAAATAAAACACAGAAATTTTACAGTTTAGAGCTTTTGTTTGAAACAGTTTGAATATGTTTTGGAGTGAAACTAGATTAGTTATGTTCTATTGTGTTGGAACGGTTGTTTTGCTTAGAGGGTGTGACCTAGACTGAAACTGTTTTAAGTTTAGAGCTGTGCTGTAGGTGCGGGAAAGGTGAAACCTGAGTTTTAAGTCTAGGTCACACCCTCCTGCATCTTATCAGAACAACCAATCCAACACAATAGGACATAATGACATCAACGACTCCTCTGGGGTTAGGGATGAGGGGTATTTATAAGTAGTTTCAGCTCATTAAGCAACAACAGACAACCTCCGCATTCCAATCTGAGCTGACAAGACTTCTTGTATGAGAAACAAAACGTCTTCAAGAAAGAAAAGAGGTCTGGTTTCCTTCATTTAAACTCCCTGGAATTTTAGCTAAATACAAACTCTAAATCAAACTTTGACAATTTATTTTTCAAAGCCCAGTTTTAATAGCAATGTAGATTTGAGATGAATTAGTAACCTCATCTGTTTTAAGAACCACGTTATTTATACAGGACCACGTCACACACCCTGTAACTCACTCGTCACTATTCCTGCAAGTCAGTTCAGACAAAGTCACTGTAGCTGTGTGAAAACTACTGAGAGGTTAGAAGCACCTAGGATGTGTGCCTGTACCCTCAACAAGAATAAATGATGATTTGTAATAAAAATATTTTCATTTTAGGACTTGTATGTGATGCAGAAAATACTAAAACAGCCATCACAATGTTAGTGCTGAACTGTTCCTAGTAAAAACTAGTGTAAGGATTAGGACGAGCAGCTTTACTCAAGCAAATAACAGCAGTTGTTTCAAGAGGATTAAAACGTACCAAAAACAGTTGCTTTTCTTAGAACTAATCCAAAATTCAGTGCTTAACTCTTGAAAACACATAAAACCACATCAGCATAACATAAACAAACACGCACACATCAAATAGATGAAGCTCTTTCAGCAGGTTGTGCATGCAAATTTTGTTGCTTCTCATTTTCCTTCTAACCAGATTTTGTGACTTAGTGTCTGTCCAAATTGACTCTTGTTCATATTTAAACCAATGAAGAAGGAGAACCAACAATTAACATGGATCATTTAATGAGTTTTTTTAACATGGAGACAAGCATTTTGCAAGCAGCAAAATGAACTAACAATCATCCAAATAGCCATTTAGTGAGCTTTGCATAGTCAGACTAATGCAGAGGTTCACTTTTTCTGTATCCCCGTGAATTTTTTCAACTGTCTTCATGTGGCAAACATGTCAAACAATGTTGTATTTTTCAGTTTTGCTCTATCTTTAGATCAGATGTGGACAAAAATGACCATAAGCAAAAGCTGCAACAAAAAAAGCTACACCAGGTTCAATAAAGAAAGGGGCTAATTCATCATCCGATGAGGTAATCAATAATTGTCAAATGCTGCAGTTTGCATTCAATATATGTCATTCAATCTCATTTATTCTTGCTGTTTATGTTCCCACCTTCAGCATGCACGCCTCTATTGCACCGTCTGGCAGCAGCCTTTGTAACCTCCATCCTTTAACCTTTGGGAGTTGGAATCGAGTCAGTGGAACAGCAAACTTTCACGAGGACCCTTTGGAAGAGCAGTCCCTCTTCTGCTGCCTTCTGCTCATGTCCAAATGAACAGTTAGTGTCAAGGACAGTCTTTACATCAGAGAAGGGACCAAGCTGCTCGGGACAGATGGAGACAGTTTAACAAGACAGCTGTGGGCTGAGAATTATTTTGTTACACCAAATCTACAAAAAGGGACCATGCAAATATGAGCTAGTGCTCAGGACCGTTCCTGAGTTAGAGTGGCCTATTAATCAAAGCAATTGGTCAATGGCATTGGTTTATCGGGAGGAACTCTCCAAGGTGCTAAAAAGTATCCCTGAGCTCATATGAGACAGGAAACGATGGTGCACGAGACTACCCCCGCTACACACACAAAAAAGGAAAAAGGTAAATGAGTTACAGATGAGCTGAGGGGAGGAGGAGTAGGAGGAGGAGGAGGAGGAGGAGGAGGAGGAGGAGGGATCCTAAACTGAGGATGCACGTTGAAAACACATTACACACTCAAAGCTGCACTTCACTAAAATCCAACTTCCAGCGGTCTCATCAGCTTGAAGACGGAGAGATGCGTTGATCCTCTCTCCATTCTTCTCCTCTTCCTCCTCCTCCTCCTCCTCCTCCTCCTCCTCCCATCTCTAACGAGGAGCATCCCGCACACTGATTTCCACTCCGTCGGGCAGGCAGGCACACAGGAGGACGGACACCAGCCAGCCAGACACGATGCGCGGATCTCCCCGTCATGAGACGGCCGTGGGATTGATGGTGCTGATGAACGCGCTGCTGTTAGCGACGCAGGCTGCAGGAGGAGTCCCGACGGACCATCTTGTGGTTCGGTTGCACGAGGACGCACAGGACGAGGCGCACCAAGTTGCAACACAACATGGGTTCCAGAGTGCACGAAAGGTAGGGGGGGGGGGGGGGGGGGGGGCTGCTAAATCATGTGAGGCAGTTGATGCAGCAAAAACGTATTTTGGCTCCTGCTTGGCCAATCCTAATTCAGCACAAATAATTCAATAGATCAAGTGAAAATGCGCACAGGAAATATGTATAGCTGCTCTCACCTTCATGATGATTAATCAAACCAACTGGGTTCAGCAACCCAAGATAATATCTTTAGGTTTTCTTCTGGTTTGACCACTTTTTGGTCCACTTAATGACGTCATTTCCACTGAATTGCAGGCCTTGGTTTGTGGGTTGCCCACACATGAGCAGGACTATCCTTTCCTAAGAGGGATATCCTGTTTAACGATTTGAAAAGCAGTGAGAAAAAACAAACACGGTTTAATCCACTCTTCATCCCAATTTTTCTAAAAGAGGAGGTGTTTTTTATAATTTCTTTAAAGAAAAGCAGCAAGTCTGAGAGAGTACACTGTGTATCATCTTCTGATAAGGCTCACCTGAGATGGTGAATCTGATCAAGCCGCTAGAAAAATGCAGGCTGTCACACACAACTCAACACAGAACATAACCAGCCATTTATGGCTGACAAACAGAAATAATTACCTGACAGTGTGAGTTCCTCATCGCATGTCAAAATAAAGGTGTGGGTGAAATTGGCTGATAGTCGGTGAGGCGTAGCGGTGAACACAGCCTCCCTGCCTTGCTCTCATTGAAGACTGAATGTTTTTTTTGGTTTTGTTTTTTTAGAAGATGTTTGAGTTTGTAACCTTTTTCATTGTGATATTTGTGTTGTTACTGTTCTGTGGTGTGTAGGCATCATCTCCAACATCTACTGCCTCCCAGGTTATGTAATCTGTGGCTATATTTGTCTTAATGGCATGTGCGGCATTAAACACGGCTTGTCTTTTCTTTGAACTATCCTCTTTTTGTAAACTAAGCAGACTGGGAGATCAGTCTGAGTATGCGAGTGATAACACAAAGAGATCTGGAATCAGACACTAATTAGAGAAAGAGCACATCCTTTTCTAGGAGGTTAGTTCTAAACCTTTTTAGTTGAAAAATGAAAATGGGAATAATTTTAATGCTTCCGTCTGCAACACATTGCTACATTTCGCCAGGCAACAACATCCAAAAGCATTTATAGTGAGGACTGACCTGCATCCACGCTGTTACCAAAGCATAAGGAGGTCTTTAATCTGAGCACAGAGCTGGAGGGAACGCTCTGGATGATGCATCTCATTTTCTCGCCCGTGTGATTTATCATTGTTGATTCCAGCAGTTTTCTCATGAACCTTAAAATAGTCCCTTGTCTAAACCCAGTGCCCTTGTTCTCATCTGGATCTGACCTGCTGTCCCTTCCCTTCGTTTATAATTCGTATTTAGATTTATGCTTTTGTGTTTGTTCTCATTTCACTGTCTGCTCCAGATCCATCTCTGTTTCTCTCCCTCTCTCTCTCTCTCTTTTGTAACCCAGCTTCCCTTTGGAGGTGGCTTTTTTCACTTCTATCCTCCAGATACATCAAAGAGGCGACGCAAACGCAACGCTCACATCAGGCAGCGCCTTCAAAAAGACAGAAGGGTAAGTGTAAATCAAACTGGGATGACTGCTAAGTTATTAGAGCTGCTGCAATGACAAAATCCTCTGTCTCCACATCTAATTTTGTGCTGCATTATGTGTATAATTACAGCAGTTACAGCTGATGGTGACAACCAGAAATCACTGTGGTGAAGACACACAGTTATACTGTGATAAACTGCATGGCAGCGGCACGTCTTCCGAGTTCATTTTTTGCTGCCTTGTGGAAAATAACAGCTGTGTTAATGCCACCAGGGCGACTCCGAGCCCTGTGGAATGTCACTATTCAATTCTGAGCACTAAATCATTTACTAAAAACCTGCCTGTGGTCATGGCTCTGCATCCCCTTTTATACCACTCAGAAAATATAAAAAGGGACCTTTTTGTCTTTTATCACAGCGTTTTGGCAAGGAAAGTAAAACAGGTTATTGTGACAGCAGGGGTACCAAACGTTTATTCTAATAAATACATAATTAAAAACACCTTGATGCAACAAAATGATCTAAATAATTGATTTATTTTGCTAATAACCTGTAAAGCAAATGCAGTGTTCTCCTCAATACACAGCCTACATGATCAGGATAGAATCTTATTGTTTTAATTGAGTCATGTAATTCATTTATTAATCACTTGTTGGTAACAAAAGAGGCACAACTGATTTGTTATGGTTTTTACTGGGAAAGAATGATTAAATTTATGTTTTATATTTAAATAAAAATCTCTAGAATAAAATGGAAGAGAATAGAATGGGATATAAAAGAACAAAACTGAATAGCAAAGAACAGATTAAAACAGAATAGAACAAAATAAAACAGAACAGAATATAATAAAACAATTGGAAAAGAACAGAACTATATAGAAAAAAAACCCATAATAGAACCGAGTAGAAAAAAATAACAGAATAGTACAGAACATAATAGAACAGAATAGAATAGAACAGAGCATAATACATAGAACAACATAAAATTACACAGAATAGAAAAACACAATAGAACAGAGCAGAACAGAACACAATAGAATAGAAAAGAAGCAAATTGAAAACCACATAATAGAATAGAACACAATAGAATTGAATAGAACATAATAAAACAGAATACAATAGAACACAACAGAAAAAATGAATAGAACAGATTAAAAAAGAACATAACAGAAAAGAAAAGATCTCACCTATGGTCACAAGCTTTCAGTAGTGACGGAAAGAATGAGATAGCAGATAAAAGCAGCTGAAATGAGTTTCCTCCACTGGGTGGCTGGGCTCTCCCTTAGAGATGGGGTGAGAAGCTTGGCCATCTGAGACGGGCTCGGAGTAGATCCACTGCTCCTCCATATCGAGAGGAGCCATTTGAGATGGCTCGGGCATCTAGTTAGGATGCCTCCTGGACACCTCCCTGGTGAGGTGTTCTGGGCATGTCCTACCGAGAGAAGACCCAGGACACGCTGGAGGGACTACGTTTCTCGGCTTGCCAGGAACACCTTGGAATTCCCCCGGAGAAGCTGGCCCAGGTGGCTGGGAAGGGAAGTATGGGCCTTCCTGCTTAGGCTGCCGGCCCCTGGAATAAAACAGAATAGACAAAACAGAGTAGAACAGAATATAATTAAAAAGAAAAGAACAGAACTGAATATAACCAAATATAATAAAATAGAATAGAATAGAATAGAATAGAACAGAATAAAATAGAATATAATAGAATCCCTCAGTGGGGAAACAGTGTTGAAGCTGTTTCTACTGACTGACCTTTTTGCTAAACAAAATATTTTTATTAAAGCATTTTTGCACAAACAACAAAATGACAATTAACATTTAATTGGTGTTTGCATTGATCGGTTTTTCTGTGGCATTGTTTGAGTCTCCAGGCATTTAGAGCAATTGACTCAATATTCATCAACGTTTTATTGGCTCATTAATTATCAATTTTAATCATGTGCTGCATGGGATGCAGCGGTTAGCGATGTCACCTCTCTGCAAGAACGTCTTAAGCTTGGTTCTTGGCTGGAATGCTGTCCACGTGCATGTTGGGGCTTTCTCTGGGTTCTACGTGTAATTTTGCTGTCCAAAAAACATGCATGCTAGGTTCATTTGTGACTCTAAAAGGACTCAATCAGAAATTGTGTGCGTAATTGGCTCTGTCGTTATTTATTTAACATTCTGTTTGAATGGAACCACAAAAAGAGAAACCATGTTAGAATGATTAAGCTTTTGGATCAAAGATTCCCAGTTAAATGTTAATTAGCTTTTGTTTGTTTTAAATAAAAATGGTTAAGAATTAAACATGCTACATTCGTTGTGTAGCGTCTTTATTAGCACAAAGAAAAAAGCAGGAATAGTAAAGTATAGCACACCCGCAGCTCTAATGAGAGGATGTCTAAACCACTAACTGGGCTGGGACCCACAACAGGTAATGCCACCCTGCTTTAAAACAAACAAACAAAAAAAATCTCTCACTGCTGTTTATCTGCACAGTATGGGTTCAGATGGGCACTCCCACCTTTAATTCATAATGCAACTGATTTAAAAGCCTGTTCAAAGAATCATCCAGTGACAATTGTTCACCTGGTATTGGTTTACTAGGATTGCTTGCTTCATGTCCATGCCCACCGTGCTGAAGATACAGCTGGGTGGAAGCATTAAGTCTGTTTGAGTAATGAGAGGCAAGAGTCTGTTTGTTCCGGCACCATTTGTCTTCTATAGCTCAGCGTGTTTAGCTCGTCCCCCTGTAGAAGACAATCAACTGACCTCTCTAATTACGGTTGTGAGAGGTGCTAATGAAAGTAAATGTGAGCTGCCTCACCGAGCTAATACATCTAATGGAAACGAGACAACACGAATGTGGACAGGCCTACGTTCCAGATGCTGAGTTTTGTGGTGATGCTCATATGTGACACTTTGGATTTATGCTAGACTAATGTCTAAGACTAGCATTGTTTACTTTTTGGACCAATTCTATTACTGTTCAGCACCTTCAAACTGTCTTAAAAAGGGCTTATCAGGAATTTTACTACATTTGCTTATGAACTGTGAGACTAGCTGTACATTAAGTCACCTGGACTTGAGCGATATTTCAAAAGTAAAACCAGATGTGAAACTAGCATGCTTTGTTAGTTGTACACATGCAATTGTACTGCAACCACACGGCCAGCACAATGCTTTTTAGGCCATTATACCACGTAGCGGGGTTTTTGTAAAACTGAATATCCTTCCCTGACCATGTAGGATAAAAACTTGGGTCCACACCACCTCATTTTCAGTGAAAAAAAATCCAGTAGTATATGGCTGCAGACCCTGAGACCGCAGATTTAGGCCGACTGCAGATTCGGTCTTCTACTCTTGTTGACACAGCAACCTCTATTTGACAGATGTTTATAGGCCTTAGGGTTAGGAAAAAGTTTGGGGCCAGATTAAATTTTGTTTAGAAATTTGGGTAGAAAACGTACTCTGGTTTCAGTAAACAGTTAAACAAGTACTATGCTCCAAGTTCGCGCGGATCGTTTAACCTCCATTCGTTTGCTGCACACACGCGTTCACATGGACGTAATTTGTGGGGGGGACAGGGGGGACATGTCCCCCCCACTTTTTCCAAAGTCAAGTTTTGACTCCTGCACATTTTACTATCCAAAAACAATATTACACTATATTAAATTGACACTGGTTGAGCTCTAGGACTAAGCGGAAAAGCCTGTTTCCCATTAGAGCATACTGTAAAGATCCCCCCCCACACCCCCCACACCCCCGTGTCCCCCCCACTTCTTAAGTGAAAATTACGTCCATGCACGTTCATTGAGCATGAGAGTTGGCAGCTCTGAATACTTACCGTACTTTCTGCTTGTGATCCATCTGGAATTGCTATGAAACCAGGGGGTGGTGTTGTCTCAAAAGCAGTACAAGCTTGACTCTGCGGTCGTCCTGAATCTGCGGTCTCCGAGTCTGCAGCAACACCCTTCTCAAATTATCCAGAAGCCTATTCATAAGCATGCAAAGCCTGTAGGTGGCAGTAGTTCCCCAAATCTTCAATATCTCTACTGAAAAATATTCCTTAGACACAAAACAACTAGGGAGTGAGCAATAGCTGTCATTAACATCGTCCTTCACCGGTGGTCTTCTACAAAGAGCAGTAATTGAGCTTAAGCCTAAACAGGTCGCACATGTGATGCCAGAGTGGGCAGTGAAGTTGAACTACCTAAAACTCGTTATTTACTACCACTAGCCAAGGCTGGCAATGGAAAATTCATAAATCTCCACTTTGTTCTGAGTTTTCAAAAGACTAATTTTTGATTCATGTTTCACGTTTGCATGGATGACAAACCATAGGAAAATATATTTCGTTTTGTGGGATACCCAGCTACAGTGGTGTGAAAAACTATTTGCCCCCTTTCTGATTTCTTATTCTTTTGCATGTTTGTCACACAAAATGCTTCTGATCATCAAACACATTTAACCATTAGTCAAAGATAACACAAGTAAACACAAAATGCAGTTTTGAAATGATGGTTTTTATTACTTAGGGAGAGAACAAAATCGTCAAATTTCAATTGTCAACGCTGCAGTAATAGCTCGCAAGAGACATGGCACCCCCTCACTCACTGACTGTACGTTACGTCCCTCCTTCCTGTGTTTTGAATGGAAAAAAAACTGACTATCCCCACAGCCAGCTGGATATGAATTATGTTTCAGTGGAACAAAATGACTGAAAATTTAGACTCTTTTTGGATTTTCTCACTGTAAAATTCTCAATATATTCCTACATACTGCACCTTTACTGACACAGCCGTGCAAAAGCAATCAGGCTGTAAAACTACAAACAATCCACAGAGACATTGCATCTTTATTCACGTTTGTGAATTCACTAATCCATGAAAAAAACTATTTTGAAATTATTTGAATAACTCACTTGTTATTTTTTGACAGTGAACTGTCTAAATTGAGCACTGATTATACTTTTATTTATGTTTATAGGAAGTCATTTTATTGAGATTAGTTTATTGGTCAGCAGTTATTGTTTCACGAGTGTTCTTCTTTCGTAATCCTTGAGGCTGACCCGTTTCCGGCTCACTCGTTAACATTCTATTTGTGCGTTTCCTTTGCATTTTTCTTTGTGCTTCCTTGACCTCATCCTGTCTTGTCTTTTCAGTGTTCATCTGAGATGTCCCCTCATCTACTCCCCATGCATTCACCAAACCATCCATCCCTAATTTCTCCTACCCGTCTTATCTTTTCATCGTGCAAATGATTAAAAAATCTTTTCAAAGGAGTAACAGATACAACAGAGGTTTAAAGCAGAACATGTTAATGAAACACTTTGATTGTGGCCCAAGGACTGTAAAAAAGATCTGTATAGAAAATAAAACAGTGGACTGAAAAGGAAAGAAAACCAGGACAAAGGACAAAGGAGCTCTTTAATTTAAAGTGAAATGAAGTGTTGTGAGCAGGAGGACAGTGACAGTAGTACATGGGCAATGTTTGATGGAGAGGGTGGGCAGTATGACATGCTGTTTCAAGGGAAACACTAGCTCTTCTGCCAAGTGATGGAATAAATTGATGATGGATGGTGAGAAGGGAAAAAAAGACTTAAAATGGTAAAACAGTGGAATACCCAAACATTCATTAAAAATCTAAATTGACGACCAGCATGTCAATGCAAATAAAGTTGTTTTATTTTGAAGTCTAACAATGGCCTGCTGATGTACTGATTTACAGTGCGTGTGTGCCTTGTGATTGCTTGGAGTATACCATGAAAGAGACATGGGCTGAATAGGCTCGGGCCATTTTAGAAGGACACCTTAAGTGCAGCGCGGCTCTTATCTGAGGTGGTAAACACACTACTAGAAAAGGCCTGCTTTCTGAGTCACACTCCAGTGAATTTAATGAGGGTGAGCATAAGAGGGACACTTAGCCAGAGACCCATTTTTCATAGTGTGGCTTTGAAACTGATAAAAGGCATTTTTAGAACAACTCAGAAAATATTGGTAAATCATCACTTTTCAAAGAAACATTAATGTCATAGGTGTTTTTTCACCGCTGTAAACCTTTAAGGAAAGTCCTTTTGACAGTGAAGCACTACACCACCGACAGAATGAGGGAACCTTCAAGTGAAATCAGAGTCAGGAGAGACCTTGGGTAATATGTCTTGGATTAATGGTTTCAGCTGAGAAACGATAAGGCTCAAACTCAAAAACGGACTCATTCTTTTGTCACCTGTTCTCAATCTTCTCAACCTTTTTTTCCACGAACAAGCAGAAGTATTTACCTGAACCGAGTAAAGGACAACATTCAACCCAGGAAACAATTAGAAAGGAGAGCTCTTTATTACTCCCATCATTACAAGCACTCAGTGAAATGCAACGGCTTTATTGTTTGGTGGAAGCAGAAATGAAAATGTTCATCAGGCTGCAGCTAATTGAACAGCTGATCTTCATCTTCAACCTTAGATTATTTTGTTTAGTTTAAAAATCGGATTATAGCAGCATTTTCCTGCTCTAAGCAAAGCTGGTCTACCCACCTGGGTCTCTTTGATGATTCAGAGGGAACAGGCTGTGGCTAGTATGGCAGGTCAAGCCTTGGCTCCAGCATTTGGAGCAGAAAAAAGAGGTTGCTTTGATTGACGTGTTTGTCCTTTATGGTACAAAGAAGCATGGATGAGTTTTATGATTTGCACTGAGTGGCACACATTTTACCAGTCATTTGAAGTTCCTTTTCGCCCCCCTGCTTCTATCTAAAGTTTCCAGCGTGAGGACCGTGAGCTCATTGATTTTACCGTGTTCTTAATGGGCTTCTTTATAAAATGTTTTCTTAGCTCCGCGTCCACTTTAAACTGACATCGACATCTCGTTTCTCTGCTTTTTTCCTCAGGTAAAGGATGTCTTTGAACAAGAAGGTTTCAGTCGTCAAAAGCGAGGCTACAGAAACATCAATGATATAGATGTCAACATGAGTGACCCTCTATTCACCAAGCAGTGGTATCTGGTGAGTAATCAGCCAACTAGCTGTCTGCGCGCTGCCTGACCTTTTGCAAAAACTCACATTCTCCCCTGTTAATTACTAAGAGTCCAGGCGTTTTAGGCACTGCTTTCTGAATCAACGTTGTTACTCATTCTCAAATTAGCCTGGCCAAAACCAAGACATGTAATCTTTGCATTCATGCAGCCTAGTTTCCTCCCTGCTTGCTTACTCTAAATGGCAAGCATGATGTGTATGCAGAAAGAAGCTTGCTTTCATTAATCTTGCACACTAAAAGAAATGTGTTGCATCACTGACATTTATTCCCCCTGCTTTTAACCTTCACTGTTGCAACCCCACATGCACGAGTTCTCTTGTGCATGCAGAAATCCACTCTCTTTAGACTAATGGTGGCTCACCTGGGTGCCATGAGTCACGGGTGTTCTCCATATTGTCTGTGTGACTAGATAAACACAGGCCAGGCAGATGGGACCCCGGGGTTGGATCTTAATGTGGCTGAAGCTTGGCAACTTGGCTACACGGGCAAAGGAGTTACAATCGCAATCATGGACGATGGTGAGTAGTAACAATGAAAAACAACCCAGAAAATAGGAATGTGTGGCTTCTTTCTTTCTTTCTTTCTTTCTTTCTTTCTTTCTTTCTTTCTTTCTTTCTTGTTTGCATTTTTAGAAAAATTAGACATTATCTGTTTAAAATTATATGCTTGATAAAAATGTAAAGAACAAGTTCACTGAGAACATTTTTTAAGAGTTTAAGTCCCATTAGTCATCACACACTGGTGAAATTACATGTCTGTTTTGGACCCATCCCCGTGGAGAGCGGTAAGCTGCAGCTGTGGTTGCGCTCAGGAACTATTTGGTGGTTTAACCCCCCATCCAACCCCTTAAAGCTGTGTCAAGCAGGGAGGCACTGGGTCATTTTTTATGTCTTTGAATTTGAACCCTGATCTCCCAGTTCCAGGGCAGACTCTCTACCACTAGACCACTGAGAAGGTTTCATGCTATTTTTAAATAAGATCAGTAACACCAAGGTTCACATGCAGGCTAAACATGAAAATAATCCTCAATTCCTATTTTCTGCTTAGTCGGCAAAAGAAAATAGATGGGGAAACGCTTGGGCCAGAAAAAGCCAGACTGATATATAACACATTGTAAATTAGCATTCAAGGACTCAGCCATCTTGGCTCAAGACGGGGAAGGCTGTGAGGGAGCAGAGTAGAAGCTAACAGTTAGCATTAGCAACTCCACCCCATGGCAGAACTCATTTGGATTTGTTTTATTTGTATATAGATAAAACATCAACATTTCAAAGAAATCAGAATGAGGAACAACTGCACGACTGTTAGCCAATCAGAGGTGAGATTTCAGGATAGCATCACTATTAATGACTCTAAAATCCTGCAGTTTTCTGCCCCTCTCTCCCCTAACCCTGCAAACAGTCAATGTCTCATGGACGTGCAGATCATGTCTATATTGAGTCTGTCTGTCCAGCCCACATCTATGGGATGTCCAAACAAGGTCCTTGCACTGTGGAAACTAACTCCTAGTTCATGATATAGGAGCAACAAAGCTTTTTTTTCTTCCCAAAAACTCAACTCACAAGGCATTCATTTATTCTAGAGACCACTACAAATGTGCTGAAATAACGAGTGAATGACAGCTTTGAGGCTGCACTCTGACTTTTCACTAAACATGTTGAATGTTGTTGCCTTGTTGTTGACCTAAAGCAAATTCTGTAAAAATGTACAAACAAGTGCTCAAATAGGAATGCTCAAAAAGAAAAAAAAGAAAAAAAGAAAAATAATGTGCTCTAATTCATAATTTCTCATCCAACACACCATTGTCACCTTTTACAACTTTCCAGTAGATTTGCAAATATAATAGTTTTGCATTTGTAAAAACACTGAGACATTATATGCACTTGTGTGCATATAAACAACTGCGTTGAGAATTTGCAGACTTTAGGTGGATTTCAGTAAATTATTCCATTGAACCACACTGACAGTTTCAGCACTTTTTGGCTGGTATTCTTATGTAATTTTGCCAGGACCAAAATTATTTCTCGGTTTCAGTCACGCTTGTCATCTTGTTTTGCATTTCTTCTCAAGCTTAATTATGCCACTGATTAATGTCGGAATCACATTTCAGGTATCGACTACCTACATCCAGACTTGGCATCAAATTACGTGAGTACTAAGTGTTATTGAATGTCCTAATTTCTTTCATTTCTTTGAAGTGCTGTTAATAAGCAAAGCAGGGGGTTTCAGAATTTCATGGGCTTCCTGTGACTTCTCATTGGCAGTGACAGGTGCTCTCCAAGTTGCCTTCACGGCTGCCTAGTCCACTTGTAGCCCTGGAGGACACAGAGACAGGCAGACGGCCAACCAAGCTGTTTAATGTTAATGCACAGAGCGCTGTGGCAGGCCGATCTGTCAAGAGCAGAGATAATGCCAGGGTAGTTGGTGCTGCATAATGTGATGTTCCTTCTCTAGAATACTGATAAAACTTTAAAGGACAAGAGGAATTGTTGAACGAAACATAATTATGAGGGTATAGTTAGGCTTCTATACTGGGTTTTGCAGGTTTGTGAGCATGTGAGATGTTTGTGTGCTTTTTGATTCTTGCAGTATTCAGTTTTTCTTACTTTCCTGCTGTACAGCTATAGGGAGCCTAAGTCTCCTCCTCTTCAGGTCGGGTCATGGGTCCCCAGAACAAAGAAAAAATGAATGCAAGTCTATGGGACTGCAAAAACTATTTCCTAATCCGCTTTGCATTACGCCCTGAATCGCACATATGTTGCACTTCAGTTTAAATGAAAATAAATCATGTGAGTTTCGACTATGTCTGTCATTGAATTCAAGTCAGTTTATTTATATAGCGCTAAATCACAACAAGAGTCGTCTCAAGGGAATTCACAAAGTAAACATTCTGATACAGTTCAGGTCATTAAGCCAATCAGTAAAACATTTCCTAAATAAGGACCCCAGCAGAGTGTATCGAGTCACTAACTAGTGTCAGTGACTTTACAGCAATCCTCATACTGAGCAAGCACGTAGCGACAGTGGAGAGGAAAACTCCCTTTTAACAGAGGATCCTGGCTCAGTGTAAGCAGCCATTCACCATGACTCACTGGGCATCGAGAAGACAGAGCAGACGGACACACACACACACACACACACACACACACACACACACACACACACACACACACACACACACACACACACTCACACACTCACACACACACACACACACACACACACACACACACACACACACACACACACACACACACACACCAAATATACCAAGTAGTATTTCTATGGCTACATTGTGATTTATTAGTAAATATTCTATTTAACCCTCCTACTGTCTTCACCCCGCCAAGAAAGTTGACCATTGAGCAGAATTGATGGTTTATCCCTTGAGGTCCACGTCAGGGGCGGATTAAGGACTGAAGAAGATCCGGGGCTTAACATACACACACACGCGCGCGCGCGCACACACACACACACACACACACACACACACACACACACACACACACACACAGAGGCTCACAAAGACATTGTGACATCATATGGTACCAGCTAACGTTCTTGGGTACCTCTTAGCCAATAGTGATGGCAGATTAAAATTACACACACACACACACACACGCACGCATGCATGCACGCGCGCGCGCACATACACACACGTGACACGCACTAGTCAACATCATATATATGTCTTGTACCACAAAATTTTTAATCTGAAGCTACATATTCAGCATATTCAGGGCAGAGTATTGTTCCTGTTAGTGTTTAGTGTGAGATGATAGTAAATATTCCCTTTCTTTCTCCAACAACTTTACCTGATAAGCTAACTTTAGGCAAACCAGCAGCACAACAAATATTTTCAAATAAGACTCACAAACCTGAGTCAACACCAGTCTCATCAAAGCCGGGGTTCTGTCGTTGTACTTTTTGTCTAAAAAACGTCCTTATGTCCATCTTCACTCATGCGTTTCAGGCAGAGACTGTAGAAGAAGCTGGCTGCTGAAGGGCTTCTTCTTCAGTGGTGGAGGCTCAGGCAGGCTGTATACAAACTACTGCCAGCTGCGCCCTCTCTGTTGGACTTTGGTACTGCATGTTACTTCCACGTTTGAGATCCGGGCTTTTCATTAAAGATTCGGGGCTTGAGCCTAAGTAGCCAGGCCTAACGCCGCCCCTGGTCCACGTGGCAGGGGTGAGGAGTGAGCACCACCTCACCCCTGCGCCACGTGGACCTCAAGGGATAAACCATCAATCCTGCTCAATGGTCAGATTTCCCGGCGGGGTCACCCATGAAGTCAGTGGGAGGGTTAATAAGAGATAAACTTTATTGTCTTCATCTTAGTGAATCTGTCATGTCCTTTGAGATTTGTTAGCTTGTAAAGATTTGTAAATAAAACGACTACAAATCAAACATCGCATATATGACGTCACCACAGAATCTCTTGTCCTCTAGCTTAGCTGCTACTTACCACATGGCCAGATTTATTGTGGTTTTCTCCACATTTAATGCTCCATCTGTCATCCTGGAAAAATTATTTGAAGCTCACTAAGCTAATATTCTCCTTTTCATGTCTGGTTCTGTGATGTCATAATGGTGAGACGAACATTTGGAGTCCTAAACGTCTTTTCACACTAAACCTAGAATAACTTTTTCCTCAATTCAAAATTAATCTGTTTCTTGGCATCAAATTGTGTCTTTGAAATAAGCGGACATCACATGAAATCCATGGAACATATCAAACAGGATTAGAAAACAGCTTTTATAGCTCCATTGATTTGCATTCTTTTTTCCTTATTTCCGGGAAAACGTGGTCCGGAAGTAGATGGGCATGACTTAGGCTCTCTATTAGTGATAACCTTCCTTCTTTGTTTCGTTTGAAAGTGGCTTGACTAATTATGTTTGTACACCAACCGACCGTGTTCAGCCTGGCTTTCTATGAACCTGCCCGTGAACAGAGATGAGTCGTGGCCCAAAATATCACTCAGACTCAGCTGTGGTGATGCAGGGGCATGCCTCGCTGGACTGATGCGTCACGCCGTGCAGAGATCTTAAGTGTGCATTTGAATTAGACCTCATGCAACAATAGAATGATCTTGCATGTCTAATTCCGTTTTGTTATACCGTTGTCATGGTGCCTCTCGGTCCTCCTGCTATCACCTGAATAATAAATATCATTTAGGGCTGCTTCCTTATAAAAATGTTTATAATCACAATTATTTAAGACAACAATGACTGAGTTAGGAATCATTATTCAGAGTTCATATTTTAAAGATAGCTTTTAAAGATAATGGCACCAAATAGGTTGCAGAATTATGATATTTATGGGTGTTTATAAAAAGTGCCTTGTAAGCTGTTTAAAACAGATCAAATGCATAGCATCCAGGCAATAGTTTTGATGAATTAATAGTCTTGCTTTGTGGTGTTTGGGATCTGAAACTGAAATTAAATACACACATAAATTGTGAGTTGCCTGTGTATTTGTGATTTTGTACGTATGTGAGGGTGTTATGTGTTCATTTGGTGTGATCACCATGCAGCAACAGCTCCTAAAATACATTTGAATGACGCCGATTAATGGAGAATTTGTTTTCGGGTGAGAAGTTGATTAATTTAGCTGCACATTTTTCTTCATTTGAGCTGTAGTGAACTGTATGAACAATCCGTTTTACCAGCAACAGATGCATTTCATTGCAGATGCACTCATTAGTTTTTGACATTAATTGAATCAGATGCTGTTCATAGTGAAACAATTTGAACTGTTTTTTGCAGAGGAGTGTGCTCAACAAGGTGGTTTGCTTTTTTATAAATGTTTATTTATTTATTGTGTTATAATATTATTAATAATAAAAACAATTTATATAGCATTTTTCAAGGCACTCAAAATGCTTTCCGTTATTCACGCATGCTCACATTCACACACTGCCGGTGATGGTAAGCTACTGTGTAGCTGCCCTGAGGCGGTCTGACAGAGGCGAGGCTGCCATTTAGCGCTATTGGCTGCTGTGTATCTCCAGAGGCAACCTTTAAAAGAAAGAGAGAAGGTGTGCTAATTGAGTATTTCTGTTCGCACATGAAATGATCAGAACACAAGGGATTCTAACAAAACACACTTCCAATTTTGTGACTTCTGCACTCACTGTGAGAACGTTCAAAGTAGAAGTTAATTTTCTTCATTGAAACGTCACTTTAAAAGCGGTTAAGATGATTTAAAATAATCAAATCTGTTTATTGTCTCACCAGGGTTATACAGTTAGTTTGGTTAAACTGCACAAACACGTTTATTAATATGCCTTTATAATCACCATGCAGTAATAAAGTCATAATAAAATGAGCCTAAAATATGGAGAGCAATCAGGCTGCTTGATTGTTCCTTTTGACAGTGAACCCACATCCCATATATAATGAAAAAATAGCAATTAAAGCAACATAAAAATTACGAATTACCATGAAAATAATGGATACAAACTCCTAAATGAGTAATTTTTTTGATGATAGCTGACTTAATCAAGCAGATCTTTTATTCTGCAGGAAAAGAAGAAGTAAAACATTCAAGAACCCTTTTGGGAACAGTTCCTTTGTTTGAAGTATGTTTCCTTTTTGATTTTAGATAGATTATTTTATCATTTTAACTATTTGCTTGTAGAAAGTATTTTAAAATTACAACATTCAAGCAATTTCCAGAAGAGTTTCTGCCTTTATGGAGGATTATGATGTGTGAAAAGAACTTTATGCGCTACTATGCTTAAATCACTTCACTGGTTACCAGTAAACTACAGAATCCACTTCAAAGTGTTTCTACTAGTTTATAAATCACTCAACGGCGTGAGGAAAAAATACATGCTGAATCTCCTTACAGCATCTACGCTGCAACCAGCAGTCCTCTGAGATCTTTAGAACGCAGCCAGCTGTAGAACCCAAACAGGATGAAGCTGCATTTAGCCACTATGCAGCACACAGGAATCAGGAATCACCTTCCTTATGACCTCAAATGTGCCCTAACTCTATGACTTTCCAATCAAAATAGAAAACTTTCATGCATTCATTAGCCTTTGATTGACTGTTCCTTATGCACCTTCTGCACTGTAACTGCTCACCCTTTAACTTTGTATTTTATCTGATTCTTAAATCTGAAATTTATCAGTGCATTTAATTAGCGCTGAATTTATTGGTGTGATTTAATAAGGCTGTCACATTGATTTTGCTGTTCTTGCTCCTGGAAAGCACACTGAATTGCCTCTGTGTATGAAATGTGCTATACAAAAAAGCCGCTTGCTCTTTCAGAGAAACATTTTAATGTTTTTCATCAGGTTTTATTTACTTCATCCTGGATTTGGTTGGAAGGTGTATGTACAGATCTTTGTAATATTTAGGTAAACATAGATTTTGGTAGTCAACGATCACTTTATTTCTAGACATAGAACCGTCTACTTTCCTTTTCCAATTTTTTAATGAAGGGGACAGAACTTGTCATCAGATCAGCAAAGGACAAACACATCTGTGTCTTTTTAATTCCACAAAAATGTGAACATTAGCTACTTCCACCATGTTACACGCTCTGCAGAGGTAGACAACATTTATCTGGGGTGAGAAAGTCTTAGGTATTGCAGTGAAAGCCTAGCGATTGCTCTTTGCCATAATGAGAGGCTGTGGTTATTGCTCTTTTAAACAACTGCAGGGAAAGGTGAGGAGGATCGGCTCATTAGATTTAACCTGGATGCACACATGACCACCCTGGGGTGGTAGTTTGATCGATAGCAAAATAATAACCCAAAAAGTCCAGGAAGTGATCTATGGATTTTCCTCTGTTATTTACCAGTGATCAGGATTGTACACTTTGTGATTTATTGTAAAGGAGGAAGGAGCAAAGTTTAAGCAAGGATGGGGAAAAAAATCGAATTAAATGTTAACTTGGTCTGGATTTACCCAACAGTAACAGCCTCCCTCACTTCCTCGTGTGAACCCCGTCGCTGTTGGAATTCCTACCTTCCTCTGTAGTTATCTGCTCCACATCTTGATAATTACAGTATTTTTCCATTTGGTTCAATAAGCATGTTTTGTTTGCCTCCTCGTTCTGCTGCTGACTGAGTCATCTTCTCTAAATGCCAGCCAGTTGTCTGGCAGCAGCAACAAAACAGTCTCCAGCGCTGATGTGATGCTTAGAAACGAGGCCATAGCTTCTCTGTTCTCACGGCGGGCACTTGTTACAGGTACAGAATACAAGTAATCCTCTCAGTAAATGCATTTTATTCTAAATGTAGGGACAATTCTGAATATGCCAACAGCCCTTTGCAGGTTAGCACCTTCTTCCTTGGTTATTTGTGCTAATTCGATCAACCAAGTGGAGTTAAATCATGGGCCATTATTGTCATCTTGAATCTAAGCTTTGCTTTTAATTTCACCAGCATATTTTTTATAAACAGTTTGGAACAGAATAGATTTTTAGAAGCAACTATATTATAAGCTGCTATATTTATTCAAAAAGGAACAACGCACACACACACACACAAAAAGAAGCAAAAATAAGGTGTAAAATGAAGATTTGTAAGCTGAACACAAAATTTAGGCAAAGAATAGCTAAAATCACGATGAATAAGGAATTTGAATAATTCTTCTTCTTTCCCAAACATGACCACATTTTCATCCGGTGTATTTATGATGTAAGGCATATTAGCGGAATACGATGAGGATATGATAAAGTTACAGGTTCCTGTGTTTGATGGACTTTTAACTTAGCACAAAACTAAAATCACAAATAAATCCTCACAAAAATGGATAAAAAGAAATTCAAAGTAACCCCCATGGAATGAGAGTGGCGGTAGCAATTTGCAAATGACACTACTGAGAAAAGTGCAACACAATATCACTGAAAAAAGATGCAAAATTATTATAATAGATACAAAACGTATAATGAAATGAGAGCTGAGACACAGAATAAACTAAATGAGGTACATTATGACCCAGATGGAACAGATAATAACAATATACAGATGCAAAACAAGTGCAATGACACAATAAATGACTGACTGAGACCAAAAAAGCTGTGAAGAGATGAAAAATAGCTGTAAAACAAAACCATTCACACACACAAATTCCCTAGAGATACATAAAGTTAAATAAATAATTATAAAAGTGTGCAATTGTGAATACTTTGAAATTCTTATTAATATTATTATTATTATTATTATTATTAATAATAAACAAAAGGGGGCAAAAGTAGCTCAGGAGGTTGAACGAGTTGTCCAGTAATCAGAAGGTTGCAGGTTCAATCTCAGCTCTGGACAGAGAATGCTGCTGTTGTGTCCTTGGGCAAGATACTTAACCCATGTTGCCACCTGGTGGTGGTCTGAGGGACCAGTGGCGCCTGTGCTCTGCAGCCTCACCTCTATCAGTGTGCCCCCAGGGTAGCAGCTGTGGCTACGGTGTAGCTCATCACCATCAGGGTGTGAATGGATGAATGATTCACTGTAATGTAAAAGCGCTTTTGAGCAGCCTTACTCTGAAAGGCGCTATACAAGTGCAGGTCATTTATCATTTACACAAGTAAAATACGTGATTTCTGCAAGCCTGTTAGCTTCAGATTGTTTCACAACTCCCACTGATAGGGCTGCTTTAGTCAATTCTGCACAAAACGATTATAAACAAACACGACTGTGCATTCAGACGACGGGATAGACTGAAATAGGGTCAGCACTCCACCGTGAAATGCCCAGTCTCCTGCCGTTTTTCAGTCTCCGTGTTTTTATGCTTGTAATTTCATCTGTTTGGTGCTTTCAGAATGCCGAAGCCAGCTATGACTTCAGCAGCAATGACCCGTTCCCATTTCCGCGGTACACAGATGACTGGTTCAACAGGTAATGCTCGCCCGAGCAACCCCTGCGTATATGCACACACACTCTGTGTGTGTTTCTGCGTGCACATGTGTGTGTTCTCCCCTGGATTCTGCTACCTCTTCGCTATTGATTTTTCTCTCCACATAGTTCCATTAAGGCATTATAGCGCTGTATAAACAGTGATGTTGTCCAGCCAGAGACAAAAGGCAGTATGTTGCCTATTTTTAACCACACAATCAGGGGAGATAACGTGTATAAAACAAGACCATCCCAAGTCTTGTTTTCTCTCAGGGAAACATGCACATGGTGGTGACCTTGTGTCCGATAAAACCTTATCAGCCTCTCATCTCCTGGCTTCACTGTGATCCACTAGAAACAACCCAGAGCACAATAAGAGTCACAAATCTTTTCTTTCTCCACCTTTCCTGCCTCCCATCTCCCCTGATGTGTGTGTTTGGGCTCCCGTGTGTTGGATGGAGAAGGCAGAGCTTTGGTGTGGTAGCACTTGCTGATTGTCGGGCAATTCTCGCTGGCTAATCAGCTGGTTGTTATAAATAGCTGCCTGTCTGTTGCAAGGCATGCTGGGAAAGAGGGGTTGACTCTGCAGTGTCCCTGTGGGGAGCAAATGGATGGAAATACGTAACATGTAACACAGGGCAATGATACATCAGTGACGTGTGCAAAAATCATGTTGATTTAGACAATTTGAGCTTATTTAGATCAGTTCATGACAACAAACATTCTAAATACAGATTTGGTTTTCTGAATCCTTGTACAAGTCAGAAAAAAGTTCTCGACAACCAAAGCGATCCGGTAAATCGAAGCTCAGACTGAACCCACATGTGATGATTTGCAAATGTATGTAAATTCATGTAAATTCTCTCCAATAATTTCTTTGCCTTCTTTCTCTCTCTCTCACTCTCTCATCAGTCACGGCACCCGATGTGCCGGGGAGGTTTCAGCGGCAGCCAACAATAACATCTGCGGTGTGGGAGTCGCCTACAACTCCAAGGTGGCAGGTGTGTGTGGAGTTAAACCCGCAAGTGTGAACAGAGACAGGAATAACAATGAGGAGATGTGGATGTGAAATAACAGCCCTGATAACCGTGTGATGAGAGAATCACAGGTCTGATGTGGGTGATTCACTCTGAGGGAAATACGGAGAGCATCTTATAGAAATAAAACATAGGTTGTAGAATCATGTTCAAATGGAACAACTCCACTTCAAGAACAGCTGCAAATTACTGAGGCGGCTGAGTGAAATGTGTTTCAAGCAACACAATTTATAACCATTGCATTTCTCTTGTATGTATATTTTTATTCTTAAATAGAAAATAAAAGCATAAATATGTACACAGTGGCAATTTGCTGCTAAACGTGACACCACATTCTCTGCTGTTGCTCAGGATCCACACACGGTGTCTCACACACTAGCTGCACAGGCGATGTGGCTTACGTCTGCTTTTTGCAATCGCCCATTTATTGCTGCTTCAAGCAGCAGCAGAATTGGGAATCTAATAAAAACAGGATTGCCCTTCTGTCAGGTATCAGGATGCTGGACCAGCCCTTTATGACTGACATCATCGAAGCATCATCCATCAGCCACATGCCTCAGATTATTGACATCTATAGTGCCAGCTGGGGACCGACTGATGATGGCAAGACGGTGGACGGACCCAGAGAGCTCACGTTGCAGGCTATGGCTGATGGTGTTAACAAGGTAAGGAGAAATCATCATTTAAAGGGATACGTTGCAACTTTTTCATATTTTTAAATCAGTTTTTTGAGTCAGCATGTGCTAAAATGACCCTTTAATGAAAGGCCACCCAGCCCCTCCACTTGCAACTTCAGAGTTGCTGGTCAGGATATTTGGAGCTGACATACCTGGTGCTGCAGTCTGCTTCCAACACATCTCCTGCATGTTTTAAATCATGAACACAGCTGATTTGTTTAATGTAGTGGTGAATCAGTCATGCAGACACTAAGGAAGGCTGGGGAGACATTTCAGCCGTTAGATTAATGTGCTAAAAAGATGAACGCACAGCAAGGAGATTTTGCTTTTGGTTCTACAAACAATCACTAAAGGGTGCTAAAAGCAAGCCAAAACAGCCTGGTTCCCCTTTAAAGGTGTGGTTGACTGAAAAAAGCATTTTTTAAATAACTATTTCTAATTATAATTGGTCACTCCGAGTTTTTCATGCAGTCTGAACATCTACACCTATTTTCTGCTTTAGCTTCTGACAGAAAATAAATAGTGAAATGTTAGGATTTGAAAATCCTCACACTGTGATGTCACACTGTGAATTGGCATTTGCATCGTGGCTCGCTTCTGACCACAGGAAGGCTTTTTAAAAATACTTTTGCAGCAAGGAGAGATAGCAGAGTGTGTTGGTGATAGTAACTTTGTAACATAGCTGATTGTGTTCTGTTGGCCAATCAGAAGCATTAATAATAATGAGCAATCCTGCTGTTTTCAGCCCACCTCTGCACAAGCAAACTTTTGCATCTCAGAACAGGAGCATCATAGCTTTTTTAAAATTACTCATAAGGTATTGATTTACACTAGAGAACACTGCAAATGTATTGAATAAATGAGTGAATTATGTAAATTATGTCATTTCTTGGTAGATTTTGTAGATTTGAATTAGGATTTCTTTTTCTTCATTGTGGTTGAGAAGTTGTGGGGAAAGCGACAGTCAGACAAAACCTTATTCCTTTTTTTCTTTTTGAAATAAAATCTCCTGCTTTCAAAAACTCCTTTAGCAAGATCAACTAATTTGAAAACATCGTATCGAACTCAACCTGCAGCTCACAGTTTGAACCCAATCAAGCTTTCATGGCACCGCTTCACAATCCAAAGGACCCAGGCCAAATGGTCAAACGACTGATCTTAAGTTCTTGTCTGAAACAATTTCCACATATTTTCAATACCAGGACAGTTGTTGACATGATCAAAATCATGTTGATGGGATAGTGTTTGCAGCTGATTATGCTGATGTTTGTAGATCCTGATATTCTTTCAGATTTCACTCAGTACCCTAAACCACATGTTTCACTCTCATGGCAGAAATGTGAAAAGATGGACAACCTAATGTTTTTGTGATACTAATAATAATAATAATAATAATAATAATAATAATAATAATAATAACAACAATAACAACAACAACAATAACAACAATAATAACAATAACAACAATGATAACAGTAACAATAACAACAATAACAATAACAACAACAATAATAACTACAATAATAACAACAATAATAACAATAACAACAATGATAACAGTAACAATAACAACAATAACAATAACAACAACAATAATAATTACAATAATAACAATAACAATAATAACAATGATAACAATAATAACAATAATAACAATAACAACAATAATAACAATAATAACAATAACAACAATAACAACAACAATAATAACAATAATAATAACAATAATAACAATAATAATAATAATAAATAAATAAATTTATTATTATTATTATTATTATTATTATTATTATTATTATTATTATTATTATTATTATTATTATTATGTGAGAGAGCATTTTGGGGATTTTCATTTTTCTGCTTAAAAAGATTTCAGCTATTTGAAAACCATCTGTCTCCAGCCAAAGGTGCCGTAGATCTTGGACTCACCCATACAGTCACCATGCTAATGACTGCAATGCCAATTAGCTGCTTGAATAATCATCGTGTTTTGTGTGCTTGCTTGTTTAAAACAGCCCCATCCAAGCAAGGCGGAAGCAGCGTTCATGTAATATTTTATCACAGAGCTAATCAAGTAACTGCTCTGCAGTGTGACACTCAGATTCTTGATCACTTCTGTGTGGGCAGCACATGATGTGCATTGTGCATGCATGAAAGCGTGAAATGAAAAAGCACTTTACGTCTCAGAAGCGCCAGACCAAGACAGTTCGCCAGACCAAGAAACATTCGCTGCAACATTAAAACTCTTTATCATAATAGTGCCGTGAAGTCCTAAGAACATTATGTTGAACTCAGTGATGCTCAAACCTCTTTAATTAATCAATTAATTTATTTATTTTGCTGTTCAAACAAAAGGACAGGAATGATCAGGAGAAGAAAAGGATGAGCCACTCATCCTCCATTTGATGAAGTGTCTTGTGGGGGAGCCGCCAGCCTTTTGTAAACACAGGTGCAGCAGAGAGTGCAGAGGATGCTCTCCGCCTGGAGCCCTTCTCGGCTGTTTCATCTTTTAAGGCTCAATTATCAGCAACAAACATGACATTTCACTGTGTGTTTAATTCGGTGTGTGTTTAATACGGTTGTTTCCAGAAGTCGTTATGTGCCTTTGCACACTAAGGTAAAGAAAATCACACAAAATAGAGATAAAATGATGCCAAATTGTCTGCCGTAAGCACAGCAGTGGCAGTTTACCAGCTGAGAAGATAAACAGAGAAACAAAAGTGGGTCTCAGGATTCTTGGATCCTGAAATTTAAAATCCTAAAGAAAACTTTTTAGTGTCTAACAACTGTTTCTCCTTTATAATAAAAAAAAACCATCATGCTATGATGTACTTATAAAATAAATAAAGCTATCAATTAGAATCCATGTAATAAATTTAGCTGAAACTCAATAATTTTCTTTCTGTTTAATTCTGGAAACATAATCACATGTTGCACAGGAGACCCTCTGCCAGCTTTGTTCCCAAAATGTCTGCCTTTCCTTATTTGAAATGTGTGTTTTGGAATGTGACTCTACTTGTGACAGATCTCATTAGGTTGTGTGTGAACAGGCAGTTTACGCCGCAGAGCGAGACAAAAGAGGCTAAAGGCAATTATTCCAGGAACAATCAGAAAACTACCACCTGGTAACAAGAGAGGTCTGATTGGATTTTAGTGCACGAGCGATTTGAAAACACACAGAGGAGACCAATTTGAAGCACTTCAAAGACAAACGAAAATAGCACACACGATACCTGTTGTATAATTACAGTCACATTCATTTCCATTATTCCCATTCGTCATTTCCACTACTTAAACTCACTGGAGGAATAAGCAGAGCTCCTGTGTGCTTTCACTTCACCGGCTGTGTGATCACATTGTTTCAGGGTCGTGGAGGGAAAGGTAGCATCTACGTCTGGGCGTCGGGAGACGGTGGAAGCTATGACGACTGCAACTGTGATGGTTATGCGTCGAGCATGTGGACGATCTCGATAAATTCGGCCATCAACGATGGACGCACTGCTCTGTATGACGAGAGCTGCTCCTCCACTCTGGCATCTACATTCAGCAATGGGCGCAAAAGGAACCCAGAGGCTGGAGTTGTGAGTGTTTGCATTTAATCAGAAACATCTACTCCTCAGTAGAGAATATCCTCAGTCCCTGATCTCTAGCAATTTAACGATGGCCATGTCTTTTATCTCTTAATGTTCATTTTTCTTTTTGTCTAAACATATTCTCTCTCTTGGTCTGAGAAATAATTGAGTCCTAGACTGCCCATGAGATTGGATAAAACAGGAAATTGCTTTAAACTTGCCAAAAATAATTTATGTTTCAGTGACCCAGATGGTCACTCTGACATTTAGACTCATGATTTGCCTTTGATACTAAGAGCATCCTCCATAATGTGTTTAGGCTAGCACACTTGGCACAACTCCTTAATTTATTTATTAAAAAAAATTGGGGGTCCGTGCAGTGGTGCAGTGGTTAGAGCTGTTGCCTTGCAGCAAGAAGGTCCTGGGTTCACTTCCCAGCCTGGGGTCTTTCTGCATGGAGTTTGCATGTTCTCCCTGTGCATGCGTGGGTTCTCTCCGGGTACTCCGGCTTCCTCCCACAGTCCAAAAACATGACTGTTAGGTTGACTGGTCTGTCTAAATTGTCCTTAGGTGTGTGTGTGTGTGTGTGTGTGTGCATGGTTGTTTGTCCTGTGTGTGTCTGTGTTGCCCTGCGAAGGACTGGCTCTCTGTCCAGGGTGTACCCCGCCTGATTGCGCGTTGACCGCTGGAGATAGCCCCCCCCACCCCGCAACCCTGCGTGGACAAAGCGGGTTCAGAAAATGTATGGATGGATGGATAAAAAAATTGGGGGGTTAAAGGTTCCTTTCGGGCACCAAAAACAGAATTTGCTGTGAGAACACACCACGTCTGTGGGCATTTACACAGTTTGAGTGATTATGCAAATAATTGCAGGCTTTTGATGAAGCATACTTAGGGTCTCTTCATTAATCTGTTATAATTTGTCTTTAAGCAACATATTTATTCAAAACAAGTAATCCAGTTAACTCATTGAATTTGCAGTTCAACAATCACTCATCAGTCTTGCAGTTGTAAATGCCATTTTAAAGGAGAAATAAGTAAGAATTATACAGTGAAATGACCACAAAACTATCGGATGTCTCAGTCATGTTGGAAAGAAGGTTACATTGAAATAGATTTCATTCTCAGCCAGCTGAGGGGTTGTCAGTTTTTCTCCTTAAAAAACACAAAAGAGGAACATGGTTACTGTTTATATGAGTAAGCATGTGTCTGAGTTTGGCTAACGCTGCAGCGCCAGCCTTGCCTGCTGGAAAAACCAAAGTAGACCAGCATAGTTGGTTTCCAGCACATGTTGTGTTTTGGTGCCAGTGTGCTGGTCCAGCATGGGATGCTGGTGATCTGATGCTGGACCAGCACACTGGATCTGCTTGGCTAGTTTTTCCAGCAGGGTTTTTAATTTAAAGGCAAAAAGCTCCAGATTTGATTAAAGAACAAAAGCCAGTAAACAGGAGTGACCCAGAAGTTTGTTCCAGGGCAGCTGTTACTCAGAAGGTAGAGCGGTTTGACCTGTAATTGGAGGGTGGTGGGATTAATCCCGGTTCCCGGCAGAGACCATTGCTGTTGTGTCTTTAGGCAAGACACATCACCCACCTTGCCTGCTGGTGGTGGTTAGAACAACCTGTACTCGTCAGCCTTGCCTCCGTCAATGAACCCCAAGGCAGCTTGGTCACTTTTGCTATACGTCCTGAGCTGTGGTACTAATGTACAAATGGCACTTACACACTAGCATTGTCTCCACTCTTCTCCTATCCACCCAGCTCGCCCCAGCCTGGCCGGGTTTATTACAAATGAATCTATAGGATTTGCAGATGTGACTGAGGATATGGGCAGTGTCCAAAATTGGCGCAAAGATATTAGTGATGTCATAAGCACATCTCCGAGCAGGTGGGCGGGACAAAAGACGAGCGGAAAAGTCTGCAGGTGTGTGTGTGTGTGTGTGGGGGGGGGGGGGGGGGGGGGGGGATCTTTACTCCACACAAAAAAAGCACAAGGTGATAAGTAAAAAGTATACGGTGATGTGTATGCTACACAGAAACAACTCAGTAGAAAAATGGTGGTGTTGCTGAATTGAGGAGAGGGATTTTTACTTGTGACAAAAATAGCATGAGGCGATCATTAAACAGTGTGAAGTGATCTGATATTGCATCCAGACTGTTGTCTGTCCTGGCACAGCTGAAACTCAGTGTGTGTGTGTGTGTGTGCTTGCAGCAGATGAAGAGAAATGACCTACGGTGTGTGTGTGTGTGTGTGTTTGTGTGCGTGCACATGCGCTCTTCAGACAGGCGGCTTCAGTCAGAGGCTTCTCACTTCCTCAGGAATCCGGCATAATAATGAGTCGCACATGCAGGAAACCCCTGCTGGCTGGTTCTGTCCACCAATTGGAGGCCCTAATGATAGGCATGAATTTGAGCCGGCGAATCAGTCAGCAGTGGGTGTGTTGAACCAGTTGAGTCTGAATCAGATCGCCTTAGGAAGAGGGCTCATAGGAAAATCCAAGGTTACGATCTAAACACAGCCCAGGTGGAGTAGAGCCGATGCTAGTGTGTAAGTGCCAAAATGTCCCCACTGTGGGATGAATAAAGTCTTATCTTATCACCACCAGCGTATGAATGTGTGCGTGAATGGGTGAATGATGCACTATAGTGTAAAGCGCTTTGGAGTCCTCTGACTCTGAAATGTGCTAAACAAGTGTAGGAAATGTATTATTTCTTGTACATTTAAGAAGCCATGGCAAGAAGGCTAGAGGCTAACGTTGTGCTAACAATGCTAACGGTTAATTAGAAGCAAATAGGTGACTCTAAAAATGTCTGAAACTATTTTTTCAATTACCAACAACTTGATATCACAGTGAAATGTATGTAATGAATAAGTACATTGTGACGTTTAACTTCCTTTAATGAGTAGCTCAGAACTATAACAGCAAGCTAACAGCAAAACAACAAACAACCATACTTCCTCTAGTCCTGGTGGAATACCTCTGTAATAAGTGTAGTAAGTGCTACTTACCGTTAAACACCCCAAAATGCCAACACCACGTATGACTCATCTTTGCTTGTCATCTAGAATCTGGTGGTGGTCGGAGGGACTGGTGGTGCCGTTGTTCAGTTGGCCTCGCCTTTGTCAGTGCACCCAAGAGGCGGTGGCTGCATCATAGCTCATCCCCACCAGCCAGTGAATGTGTGTGAGAATGGGTGAATGCCTGACTGTGTTGTGAAGTGACTTGGGGGGTTGTAGAACCCTAACAAGGCGCTATACAAATACAGACCATACAACAATTTTCTGGTGCTGATCTGTAACTGGTACATAACAGTCATGAAACTCACAGAACAGGAGTGAGAAAGTAACTTTTTTCTTAAAAGGCCTGCAGGGAGTACATTTGAGCATATGATGGCATTCTCACTTTATTCTTACATATTGCACCTTCATGTTTCCCATTCAACATTACTGAATTTTGGTTTTTCATTAGGGTAAAATTTAAAGCACAGAAAAAGCCTATAGCCTCTGTAACTTATTCATAAAATGTCCTTCTTTTGCTCTGGTGGTTTCAGGCTACCACAGATTTGTATGGAAACTGCACGCTGCGTCACTCTGGAACCTCAGCAGCAGCACCAGAGGCAGCAGGTGTTTTTGCTTTGGCTCTCGAGGCTAAGTATGTACTCAGCAGTTGAGCTTACAGGTTCAGATCAATTACCTGCATGAAATACGATTAGATTACCTTATTCAGCAATTCTCATCTTAAGAAGGTGGCAGGCAGGAGGAATGATTGTATTTCCAGTCGTATTCATGATTGCACAACCTTGAGTCCATGTGTTCATGTAAGAATATTTTATAATCCTCCTGTCAATCCTCTCTAGATTAATTTTGGCCTCTGCTTTTCATTTCTCACATAAAATGCTGACAAGACCCTCAGGCCACACCCTGACACCAGTTGATGGAGCTGAGTAAAGAGACAATGTTTGCTCGGTACACACGGTAATGATGTGGCTGTTGTGAGGACCGGATGTTCACCTCGTCCGGTGGCAAATAATCTACGAGCCTTTTTACTGCCCAAACACACTCGAGCCAAGCAACAGCATGGGTTCAGCCAGAGGAAGGCTGTGGACTATCTGCTCCAGTTTTCGACAGAAAACTACTAATGAAAATAAAAAAGTTATCACTCATTTTACACTAATCTGTGCTTGTAATTTACACATTTTTCTAATCTAATCTTTTCATCTTATGTTTTTGTCTTAACCCTTATATAACCCTTTAATTTTCTAATGTTTTTATCCTCTGAGCACAAAATAATGCACTAAGGACATATCAGGGTTAAGCAACCTTGTATGTCTGTGTGTGTCCCCCCAGTCCAAACCTGACATGGAGAGACATGCAGCACCTGTCTGTCCTGACTTCAAAGAGAAACCAGCTCCATGATGAGGTCCACCGGTGGAGGAGGAACGGCGTTGGCCTCGAGTTCAATCACCTGTTTGGCTATGGTGTGCTGGATGCCGGGGGCATGGTGAAAATGTCCAAGGATTGGAAAACAGTGCCAGAACGTTTCCACTGTGTAGCTGGGTCCATTCAGGAAGCCCAGTGAGTCATATTTCATTTTCGATAAATACTGCAAAAAACTGAAGCCACAAACGAAAATTCTACTGAGGACAAAACTGATCTAATAAGTGAATCATCTCAAAGTGCCTAATGTAATAAAACACCTGCAAAAGGAGAATCCACTAAACAACCCTCAAATATTTAGATTAGCTGCAAAGTCTCTTCTAGCATCTGAATTAAACACATTACAACAACTATCAGAACATCGATTTCAGAAAATTGTTTTGTGGCATTTTTATTTGTTTATTTTAAAAATGAAGACTGATGAATTTACCTACTTATTATTCATACTTAGATTTTTTTTACCTTCAACTGAAAGAATCATTTAGGTTTAAAGGACACATAATATGTATTTTATTTAAAGTTATAATATTTCTGTGGTTTTATACAAAGCATATTTATCAATCTCTTGTCACATATAGCACTTTTCTTCTTGCCAGTTTCGGTACCTTCCAGAATGAGCCATCTCAGGGCTCTGTCATTTTAGGGGGAAAAAAGCTGGGGCTGGCCACGCCCACCTGTCCCCTGATAGGCTGAGTCTTGTTAAATAACTTTATTAGGCCTGGGCATTGGTTAGTCTAGAATTTATTTACCGAAGCAAAATAATTTTGCTTTGCATGTTGGTTTAGGTATGCTCCATTGGAACCTCCACAGCACTGGCCAGTATTGTGGGTGACCAATCACAGCACATTTATTTAGAAAAACAATGCGTTGTTTTATGTTTCTTTATGGCTTTGTTCGAGTTGAGCAGCGCCTCGCCTGGAAAGCAGACGAGAGCAGATGGACGCAGCAGGGGGAGTGGCTGAAAGCCGTAATTTAAGTCGTACAGATTTCACTACATGTGTAGCTTGCGGGTAACGATGGATGAAGATATCATGTTAGAGTTCATACTTGTTTAATTATTTATTTTAATTCTGGTGCCTGTTAGCAACCGAAACACATCCTCACGTGCTTGTGGACATCATATATTGTATATGGAGACCTGACTGTAATAATAAGTAAAGGTCATCAGCTCTAGTTTTAGTGTGCTCATAGGAAACGTGACAAAAGAACACAAACCGCATTCTTCTTTATGGCCTATATTGTCATCATCAACGTAACATGATTTACAGAATACATGTGACCAACTAACATTTTGCATTCAACCACCGGATGTTTGGATCAAAATGTGAACCAATCAGATCTTAGATCAGGTGAGGGCCAGGCGTTTCCCGTCATGCCCTAGGTTTTGCAGCCGGTGGAGAGCAACTGCAGCGCCTTGCTCCAAAATCTGCGGCCGCCTTGATCTTGCAAGGTTATCGTTGCCTACGTATGCATGACGTCAGAGCGAGTCGGTGTCAAGTCGGAAACAAATCTAACCGGCATGCACTGTGCGCCGATCACCGATGGTCTAATCTGCGCAGAACTGGCTCATCTCGAACACGGCCAATGTTTTACGTAGTTCTTCCATGATGTAATGGTGGACTGCCCCGCGCTCGATTGGTTTGGTGGGGCAATCACAGCACTTAGTGGACGGGCTGTTACTGAAAAAACTAAGAGGGTGTCAAACCCTCTAGTGGCTGGTAGATGTAAACATCAAGTGTCGTGCCCGGCAAAATAAAATTTTGATTATTTATTTTTGTAAATATAACTTTTCATTAAAATGTTTCACACTCTTACTTTAAACACATAAATCACCCAGGCTATGTTCTATACGCCCCCACACATGTGTTTAAATGCAAATTTTAAAGTACATAAATATCAGCAATGGGCTGGTTACAAACTAACCCCTGAACCGCCTTCATTTGGTCCAGGACTCTGCAACGAGGCTCCTAACTGGAGCAAACAGAAGAGCTCACATACTCCTATTTTAATGTCTCTGCACTGGTTAACTTTAGAATCCATTTTAGAATTCTGACTATAACTTTCAATGCTCTACATGGTAAAGCTCCTCCTCACATTACTGAACCGTCAAAGCCTTATGCTCCAACCCGAGCCCTCAGGTCCACCCACCAGAACCCTCTAGAAGTTCCAAAGACCAGATATAAAGTCGAGGTGATCGCTCCTTCCAGACTGTTGCACCCCGACTTTGGAATAATCTTCCTTTAATCTTTACGTAGTATTGACAGTCTGGACAAGGGTTGGGGTTAGGGCCAGCTGAAGACCCTTTTATTTAAAGTAGCTCTTACATAAATATTTTCTTTTCTTATTTTTAACTCAAATTTGTAATCATCGTTCATTTGTTTTATGATATTTTATGACAAAGTTTTTTTCTGATTTCATTTTATTTCTGTCATAAGATCATTATAATTTTATGACGTTTTGATTTGTTTTGTTTTTTCTCTTTTTGTGATGAGTGCTATATGAATAAAAGGCACTTATTTATTTTTATCATATGCAAAGCACTAGAAATTTAATCAGTTTAGTATAAATGTAAAGTCACTCACCAGATTATTATTATTATTATTATTATTATTAATATAATATATAATGATGATAATAATATATAATATTATATAATGATGATATCATTATAATTATATAATTATAATATAATAAAAACATAATAATAATAAATGTGTAAAATAATTGTGGATTCTATTCTCAGATGTTTCTTATAATTTAAATAGGCTGCACCTCCATAATCAGGTGGTTCTTGTAACTGTATCTGACCTAACTTAGTTCCCCATCAAAACAATGAAAATACTCAAGGTATTCTTTGAGACAGTGATGTCACGGCAACAGTGACGTAAATGAAAGCTTGCATGTGCGTGTCTCTCTACGGTGGAGCTCTACACAGATGAAAAAAAAGGGCAGGTGCAAATCCGTGGAAACTTTTCCTCTTGTAGAAAATGTTTGTGATGGCAAACATTACCCAGCCAGCTGCAGAAAGTGAATTCAGCTTTTATCTCAGATACGACACCCCCTCCAATGTTTACGAAAAATGGTTTAGAGATGAGAAACGTCCACATTTCCCTTTTCAGCCTTTGAGTTGTGTGCTAAAAGCTGAATCACTGGTTTTGTCATATATTTTATCAGTTCCTTGTTGCCACAGCAGCCCTGCAGGGTTCCTGCTGCCTGCGTGGTAGAGCTATAATTACAAGCCCACCTCTGATGATAATGTATCATCAGAGAAAAGCAATAAGCACCAACACGGCCCTGCTCACAAACACAGCTCAGCACTGATCTGATAGCTCTTCTGGTGGGTTATGGCTTCCTTAGCTGGACGAAAACTTCTCATTATCAGTCGAGCCGGCACACAGGGCCCCCTGAGCAGTATGGTTGTTTTGAATCTCCACAGGTTGCGACTTTCAAAGGACAACCTCCTCTCTGAGTTCATAATTACAGTTGCTTTATAATCTGAAAGGAAAGGAGCTACTGCTGTACCATTTTGGGCTTAAAAATACATATTCACGTTTACAGTAAAACATCCATCTATTATTTTTCATTCACAGTGTTCTACACAGTCTACTGCTAATTTTTTAACTAAGTGGTGTAAAACACCTCTTTCACTTGCAGCCTTTTCCTCCATTCCCCGCTAACGGTGGTATTAAGCCTCTTTACAACCTTTTGGCCACTGCCTCTGCCCTGCTGTGTTATCACTCTGTCTTCACATCTAAAGAGATGGGAGAACAGTGTCTTCTCAGTCACAAAATAACCGCATCACCAAGAGCAACTTTCCTTTTTACACTGTGTTCTGAGCAAATCTTTTGTTAAAAGAATTCTGGGTTTATTAGAAGTCCAGCACACATCATAATCTCTTACATGTGCAGTCATGCAGAAAGAGATATTCATCTAAAAATACATGAACAAGATTTCTAAATTCTCTTCTGAATGTTGAAACATTCTTTATTATACTAGAATATTTCATTAAATCCTTTTATTTAAAACCTTCAGCATTTCTCACAAATCCTCATAAATCTCTTTTAACTTGAGAGATCCTTAACTAGTTCGAAAAATCATTTTTACGTAGATCTGTGCTCGAAGCTGAATTTTTGTCATTTTGGCGTCAGTGAACATTCACGTAAATCTAACACAAATTCAGACCTTGCTTTGTTGTCAAGTTCCCAGGGTTTTGTAGAAACCAGGAGGTTTTTGTCAAAGAACACCATCTAGTGGCAGAAAAATGCCCCTTTCCCTATTTTCGTGATCACGGCTGAAAAATCCACCTATTGTTCTTGAATGAGAAACAGAGCTAAAACTCATTGTTTCACAATAATTATTCTCACATTATGCTGTGTGTTCATATGTTTCAAAGACTTGTCCATTAGAAGTGTCACCAACTCTGCATCAGTACTCCGCAAACGTGCACGCTCTGTGATTAACATCACAAGAGGATGTTGAATGTTATTGGTTAATGCTGAGCGGCTCTCCATTCGCATTGCATGGGGCTCTACGGGACGAGTCAGGCAGGCTTAGCAAAAAAAACGTTTTTTAAAGTATTTTTTTTACATATTGTCTAAATTATATCACAGAACAGTCAGACTATCATGTTTATGTATTTCTAAAAAAGTCATACATAATTCCAGAGAAGGTGAACAAACAGCACACTCCTGTTAAGACGCCATTTGAGTGTTTCCGATATTTGAGTTTTGCAGTTTTAACCTCCAAATTCTTGTCCTCCTTCTGCAGCAAAATCCAGTCAGACAGCAAGCTGGTTTTGGCAATCACCACGGAAGCCTGTCAGGGGAAGGACAACTTTGTCCGATACCTGGAGCATGTGCAGGCTGTCCTCACTGTCAATGCCAGCCGCCGCGGGGACCTCAACATCAACATGACCTCACCCATGGGCACAAAGTCCATTCTATTGAGTCGGAGGCCCCGTGACGACGACTCCAAAGTCGGCTTCGACAAGTGGCCCTTCATGACCACCCACACCTGGGGTGAAGATCCCCGTGGAACCTGGATCCTTGAAGTGGGCTTTCAGGGAGACCAGCCACAGCGCGGTGTCCTGAAGGAGTGGACTCTTATGCTGCATGGAACACAAAGTGCCCCTTACATAGACCAGATTGTGCGTGATTATCAGTCCAAACTTGCCATGTCCAAAAAGGAGGAGCTGGAGGAGGAGCTGGATGAAGCTGTGGAGCGGAGTCTGAAGAGTTTATTGAGTAAAAACAACTAAGGTTCAAATGTCATCTGCATGTTGCCAACTATGACACTTTCTCTCTTATTTTACCGTCTCTGCAGTTTCACACTGTCCTCAAAATCTAACCACATCTTCTTAGTTAATCTCAGTATTCTCTCCTTTCATACCCCCCCCCCTTTTTGCTTTTTGCAATTAAACGTTTTAGTTATTCTGTTCAAAAAAGTGTCATGCCAAAGTGTAATCCTCAATTATCTGTTCAAAGTAGGGAAAACAAAGTGCGTCACCTGAATTTTTACACTCTACAGAACTGTACATATACCAAATATAAGCCACTCTACCATACTCTTGCTTTCATGCCCTGCACCTTTCTTCTGCCAAATGTTGTACAGATTGTGATTGTAAATTATTCTCTGTGACTTAAAGTTTAACTTCTTGCAAACAGTGCAGTGATACTTCTTTCTGTTTATACTTTTTGTGAAATGCAATGTTATTTATATAAATAAGGACACAAAAGTGTGTAATTTATTTTGCAGAGAGTGGTCATCGGTTCCTATTTCACAATCTTTGGCACATATTATAATAAATAAATAAATAAATAAATAAATAAATCTATCTATTCAACAATTTATTAAAGTATTTGAGTATTTGAGGTCAAAATTAACATGTTACTATAAAAAAAACTTCATTTAAAAGGCAAGTCACTCCCAAATCAACTTTTTTTTCCTGATAAACTATATAAATGCATGTCTAAGCGTGCTGCAGACACGTGTAGTCAGTAGTTTAGCACTTGACTTCATTTTAGTTAAAATTTTTATTTTCTGCCTAAAACTGTTAGTGTTGTGCTGTTGTCAGGTAAAAACTGCACTGCATTTGAATTTTAATCTGCCATCACTATTGGCTAAGAGGTACCCAAGAACGTTAGCTGGTACCATATGATGTCACAATGTCTTTGTGAGCCTGTGTGTGTGTGTGTGTGTGTGTGTGTGTGTGTGTGTGTGTGTGTGTGTGTGTGTATTTGTTAGCGGCTCCACCCTCTCGGTCTGCTAGGCAACAGCATTTGTTGCATTTTTCAAACCGAAAGTGGGAGCGGAGTAATACTCTGGTAGAGGGCGACTTGCTCTTTAAGGAAATCTACAGCATATTCCTTTGCACAGAAAACCCATATTTCCTCACGTTACACACTGTATTGTCCCAAATCTTCAAAATGCTGCTTCAATGATTCTGCAGGATACGATGCAAAGTTTCCCTTTTCACATACTGCTTTCTCTATGTATGATTTGGTAAATGGTAATTTGCCTGCGTAGCGCCTTCTTAGAGCTCTAACACCCCCCAAGTCAACATTCTTTCACACCCGAAGCATTGAAAAATGACGATGGCTGACCAAGCGTTTGTTTCCGTCGAGGCAACGCGCTGTGGCAGAGCATCGGTTTCTGACACCCGCGGTAAAACGTGCATTTCACAGACACTTAACCTCTAGCCTCTTGCTATTTAACCTTCCCCTCACCCCCATCCTAACCTTAACCCAGTTCTTCATTCTAAACTTCCTGTTAACCATGTCTGAGATGGACGTTACGACTACAGACAAAGTTTTGCATGTGCAAGAGGGTTGAAGTTAGGATGGGGATGAGGGGAAAGTTAAATAGCAAGAGGGTAAAGGTCACAATTCGGTGAAATCTCCGTTTTACCGCGGAAGTCAGAAAATGACGCTCTGGCAAAGCGCAACGCCTCCCAAGCGTTTGTTTCTCCCGAAAACAAACGCTTGGTCACCCATCATCATTTTTCAACACTTCAGGTGTGAGAACATGTTACCCCAGTTTCTTCACAACACAATCAGTCATCTGCCCATTCACACGCTGATGATAATGAGCTACAATGTAGCCACAGCTGCCCTGGGGAGCACTGATGGAAGCGAGAATGCCAAACACTGGCGCCATCGGTCCCGTTGACCACCACAAAAGACGAAAGATGCATTAAATGTCTTGCTCAAGGACACAACAGCAGCCTTCTCTGTCAGGAGCCGAGATTAAGCCTATAACCTTCCAAATACTGGACAACCCGCTCTACCTCCTGAGCTACTGCTGCCCTAATTCATCACATTATCCACATTAAACATGCAATATTTAAGAATAACGTAAGAATGACATTTTGTGGTCAAATATGGATACTGCAGCACAATTTTACAAACAAAAACTCACTATCTCAGTAGGAAGTCATGTGAAGTAGTGATGTGCGTTTCATGGCTGTGGCCAGTTACAGAAGATTCTAGAAGACAAGCAAAGCCAATGTCACCTTACTTCCAACATGACTGAGAGACTAGCAGGGGCGGATTTAGGACTGAAGAAGATCCGGGGCTTAACACACGCGCGCGCACACACGTGACACGCACTAGTCAACATCATATATATGTCTTGTACCACATAATTTTTAATCTGAAGCTACATATTCAGCATATTCAGGGCAGAGTATTGTTCCTGTTAGTGTTTAGTGTGAGATGATAGTAAATATTCCCTTTCTTTCTCCTACAACTTTACCTGATAAGCTAACTTCAGGCAAACCAGCAGCACAACAAATATTTTCAAATAAGACTCACAAACCTGAGTCAACACCAGTCTCATCAAAGCTGGGGTTCTGTCGTTGTACTTTTGGTCTAAAAAACGTCCTTATGTCCATCTTCACTCATGCGTTTCAGGCAGAGAGTGTAGAAGAAGCGGCTGCTGAAGGGCTTCTTCTTCAGTGGTGGAGGCTCAGGCAGGCTGTATACAAACTACTGCCAGCTGCGCCCTCTCTGTTGGACTTTGGTACTGCACGTTACTTCCGCGATTTAGATCCGGGGCTTATCATGAAAGATCCGGGGCTTCAGCCCAAGTAGCCGGGCCTAACGCCGCCCCTGGAGACTAGACTGTTTAATTTCTAAATAGATTTCTTACATATAGCTCCTTTATGTGTAAAAACCATCACAATTTTTCCATTTAAATAAAAGTAAAAGATTTTTCTGTGGATATAAGAAGCCCACATGAAATCATAAAAGCCCACAGAAATGTTCACCTTATTTCACTTTTTTGCTGCTTGCTCAGGCTCAATCCCAATGAAACCCATTAATATAATGGCCTTGTGCAGTTTATGTTCGCACACCCCAAACAAAAATTGGTACATAATGTTCAGTAATTGTGTTGACCATTCTGAGCAGACAGGCCTTTCTAAGACTGGATCTAAATGGAAGTATTCCAGACAAAAGTACGCTACAGCCCAGAGTCCACACAAACCTGTTTCAGCAGGTCTCCAAAATAAATTTTGTAGGAGCAATAAAATAAATATGCTGCTGAAGGTTCTCAGTTATTCAGGTCATGGTAATAAAATAAATACACAAACTACAATGTGTGACAGTTTTCTTCCCCATCTGCTCTGGTTTTGAGTTTACATGCTGTAGATAACGGCCCAACTCAATCTCATCATGCATGAGTGACTAAAACTAAACAGATTAAGACCCAAGTTGATGTTTAAATCTTTTATTATTTAATATATTGAAGCAAATTGATTCACAGCAAATCTGCTGGGGGCAGAAGGTGGCATCCAATTAAACAAATAAGCTCAGAGGGGTAAATTAAGTTCATCAATCCAAAGGGTGGCACAATTTCTAGTGTATCTTGAGGTGGCATAGAGGTTTTCGTCTGGGGTTTTCAGACAGTAAAGGACTCGTAGCATTGGTGCAAAAGGATCGGAACAGCAGGACCCATGGAGCTGGTGCAGTTCATCTAGGACTCATCACCAGAGGATGCAAGCAGATGGAAGAGTTTGCGCATAACAGTCTTGATGCATGGATGGTTTCTCTCAAAGAGGTGCAAAAGTTTATCTCAATACAGGTGCTGGCCAGTAAATTAGAATATCATCAAAAGGTTGAAAATATTTCAGTAATTCCATTCAAAACGTGAAACTTGTACATTATATTCATGCAATGCACACAGACCAATGTATTTCCGATGTTTATTACGTTTAATTTTGATATTTATAGGTGACAACCAATGAAAACATCAAATCTGGTATCTCAGAAAATTAGAATATTCTAAAGGCCAATGAAAAAATGTTTGTTTCTCTAATGTTGGCCAACTGAAAAGAATGAACATGAAAAGAATGTGCATGTATAGCACTCAATACTTAGTCGGGGCTCCTTTTGCCTCAATAACTGCAGTAATGCGGCGTGGCATGGACTCGATCAGTCTGTGGCACTGCTCAGGTGTTATGAGAGCCCAGGTTGCTCTGATAGTCGTCTTCAGCTCCTCTGCATTGTTGGGTCTAGCGTATTGCATCCTCCGCTTCACAATACCCCATAGATTTTCTATGGGGTTAAGGTCAGGCGAGTTTGCTGGCCAATCAAGGACAGGGATACCATGGTCCTTGAACCAGGTGCTGGTGGTTTTGGCACTGTGTGCAGGTGCCAAGTCCTGTTGAAAGGTGAAGTCTGCATCCCCATAAAGTTGGTCATCAGCAGGAAGCATGAAGTGCTCTAAAACTTCCTGGTAGACGGCTGCATTGACCCTGGACCTCAGGAAACAGAGTGGGCCAACACCGGCAGATGACATGGCACCCCACACCATCACTGACGGTGGAAACTTTACACTGGACCTCATGCAACGTGGATTCTGTGCTTCTCCGCTCTTCCTCCAGACTCTGGGTCCTTGATTTCCAAAGGAAATGCAGAACTTGCTTTCATCAGAAAACATAACTTTGGACCACTCAGCATCAGTCCAGTCCTTTTTGTCCTTGGCCCAGGCGAGACGCTTCTTGCGCTGTTTCATGTTCAAGAGTGGCTTGACACACGGAATGCGACACCTGAATCCCATGTCTTTCATGAGTCTCCTCGTGGTGGTTCTTGAAGCGCTGACTCCAGCTGCAGTCCACTCTTTGTGGATCTCCCCCACATTTTTGAATGGGTTTGTCATCACAATTCTCTGCAGGGTGCGGTTATCCCTAGAGCTTGTACACTTTTTTCTACCACATTTTTTCCGTCCCTTCGCCTGTCTGTTAATGTGCTTGGACACAGAGCTCTGCGAACAGCCAGCTTCTTTAGCAATCACCTTTTGTGTCTTGCCCTCCTTGTGCAAGGTGTCAATGATTGTCTTTTGGACAGCTGTTAAGTCAGAAGTCTTCCCCATGATTGTGGTGCCTTCAAAACAAGACTGAGGGACCTTTTAAAGGCCTTTGCAGGTGTTTTGAGTAAATCAGCTGATTAGAGTGGCAGCAGGTGTCTTCTATATTCAGCCTTTTCAGAATATTCTAATTTTTTGAGATACCAAATTTGGAGTTTTCATTAGTTGTCACTTATGAATATCAAATTTAAATGTAATGAACATTGGAAATACATTGGTCTGTGTGCATTGCATGAATATAATGTACAAGTTTCACGTTTTGAATGGAATTACTGAAATATTTTCAACCTTTTGATGATATTCTAATTTACTGGCCAGCACCTGTAGAGCAGTTTGAAAAGCAATTGTATCTGAACACAGTTACATCATCATTAGCAATGCCTTTCCTTTGAGAATCCAGATCATGTGGGATCAGAGTAATGCAGTCTCAATGTTTCTTCTTGGTAGACTTTTCAATCATGGTCTCCACCACCATGGAGGTTTCCTCATATCCCTTTACTCTGCGACCATTGGAGAACTTCTCCACAGACTCCACCACCTCAACCTTCTCATAGCTCATGGAGTCTGGGGTGAAGCTGCTTGAACTGGAGCTTGAAGATGAACTAGAGCTGGTGCTGGCACCACGAGGTGCCGGCTTTGGAGTAGGCCCACTGGGGCCGTTGTCGCCCTTCCTTTTCTTGGACTTATTGGCATCAGGAGTGGGATCATGGGAGCTTGGGTCCAGAGGTGGAAGTACAGGGCTAGTGCCTTTGGAAGAAGGGTCTCCATTGTTGTGTTTACCTTTTCCTCCACTATCTCTACCTCTTCCACCTTTGTTATCATCCTTTCCATCTCCAGGATGAACTGGCCTGGTGGGACTGAGGGGCCTGGGGTCCACCACGGGTGGAGGCCTGGGGTCCACAATAGGCTGCGGGGGTGGAGGAGAGGGTGTTCTGCGACCATAAGGCTCATAGGGAGATATCATTCCATTTCTGATGGTAACAAAGATGCGTCCAGCTGATGGCGTAGATGTGTAGAAGCATGGATCCAGGTAGCTGCCATCACCGGTAACTAGGACATAGCGACCTTTCGTATAGAAATCAGCAATCGGCTCTGGCCTCTTGTACCTCCGCATTCTGTCTCTGACAATGTTACAAAGAGTGTCAAAGGCTTTGCTGATCTGAGCTCCATCTGGAACATCTTGTGAAGGAACTCCAGTGAGAGGGGGTCCCTGCTCTTTACTTTTCACCTCCTGTTCTTCATGCACTTCCTCACACTGGGTTGTCTTTGTTTCTTCATCTCCATTGGTGGGCGCACCGATTTTTTCCTCCTGGACACTATCCATTACATCCTTTGGGGTCAGCTCTTTCTTCTTCAGGACCTTTTTGGCCAACACCTTCTGTCTGGGCTTGATATTTGTAATATCTTGTATAGCCTGGGTGATATCTGGATACAAATGAAATCAAATCAGCAGGATGCACTAAAATTATACTCCAAAATACGATAACAAAAATCACAGCTTTCAATGACTCTGATTAGCTTGCTTTTCTTGTTGAATCTCCTAAAAGTAGTTCTCTCAATTACGACGACTGCCGACTGTGCAATTAGAGGTGATTTTAAGGATAAACCAGCTGTGCGTGTGCTCATCGCTCCCTTACCTCTCCCCCTGCTTGATGCACTGGGTGTGTGAGTGTAGCGGTAATTAGCAGTAAACAGGGTAATGGGAGTGCCAATTATTGCAGAATTCAGCCTGCAGAGGAGGGAAAAAGACAGAAAAAGACAGAACATGCAGCTTTAGTATGCATGTATATATATATATATATATATATATATATATATATATATATATATATATATATATATATATGTATATATATACACACACACATTCATATATAGAACAAATTACGCCAACATAGCTTTCTTGTAAATGAAACAAGTGGGCGGTACATTTGTTGTTTGACACCACCATCTGCTGGTGGATTCTGTGACAGATATTGGCTGGAACCAGTCTGAAGTGGCGCTGACAATGAGGCTTTAAAGCACACAATATGAGGGAATGCTATGGTGCCACCGGTGCTCTGATAGTCCAGTCCAACCTTTCTTTTACCTAGAATTGTTTTGGTTCCTTCAGAACTTTCCATTAATAGTGTTCTTTCAACGCCTTTATCACTTTGGGTTTTTAGCCCAAACACGTGTTTCTAAACGAAACATAACAACAGTGACAAAAACCGGTGTCGTAGATCGTGTGACCTCTATGGAACCCTGAGCGTAACTGAATCAGTCAGGTTGGCATGATCATAATTTTAAAAACAACCTACCCGCTAGTTGACTCAGAAAATAAGTGACGCACCTAATAGGTGCTGTTTTCAAACTAACCGTACATTAGCTCACTAATTTATGGGCTTTTAGATTTGTTTCTGCTAGATTTGTGCTTATTTTTTCCCAATTTCTATATGTCGTAGTTCCCAAATTTTTGAATTTACACCAACATAGTTAAAATCTTAGACGTGTGACAAAAAATTATTGCAGGTATAAAAATAATGCCAATAAGCCATCATCCAAGCCCCTAATGGCACATGGAGAAAAAGAAAATCAACAATTTTTATGCACACAAATATATTAAAAAAACTGTTTAAACTTGTGTCACTTTAAAGACTCCAAAGAAGAGCCTAATCACCCTTTGTATTGTTTTCTAAAATCTTTTTTCATCACTATTCACGTGTCTTTATTACAGTTACAACCAGGGGTAGACTGATATATCGGGCAAAGATTTACTGTTTTTATCGGCATCAGCCAATACATTTACCCCGAGTAAAGCCGATTTAAAGTAAGGCGCATCTTTGGGCAGCCCGGTGATGCTGCAGAATTTTATTTAAATTTATTTTTACATTCACTAATATCATCTGCATAATAACTACTCTAAATTAACTTTATCTCAGTGTCTGATTTTACCACTAAGAAGTGAAGATGTCACAGGTAATCACTGAGCCAGCTGAGTTATTTCAACAACGTTCTGCACTCAAGCAGACACTTATTTCAAACGCGTTACTTCCTATCTCTGGGTTTCAGAGGCCCGCACGTGTCTACCTGTTATCTTCGTTCTCGATGATCCTCTTGTACCGTTCCAGCTCGTTCTCAAGAGATGTCTGGTACATGGCCAAATGGCGACATTCACATGTGAACTTTTCCAGCGACTTCTCAGCTTCCTCGATTGCTTTTCGCAGTGAATCAATGTTCTCGTTGTATGCCTGGATCTCGTTGTCGTAGCTATCCTGAGTCTGTTTTATAGCTTGTTCCAGCAGTGAAGTCTTGGAGGAAACAGAATGAATAAAAAAAGGATGAAGAAAACACTAAAAATAATGTTGTTGTACATGACATGTACACGGCCTTGGGGATTTACATCATTGTCATTGTTATCAAACTGTTAATTATCCAAAATAGGTAGCAAAACAATGAACAAATAAAATTGGGCCAAACTGGTCAGTGGTTAAAATAAACATAAAATTAAATTATTTATGATACATTCTGTGAAAATAAAATAAAAAAATAATAAAAAACTAAATAGAATTTGCAACTTCAACTTCTACTGTTGTGTTCACTTCTATACTAAGTTGTATACATCTGCACCAAGTTTATGTGATCCTTGTAGAATTAATTGTCAGCAAGAAGGAATATTAATGATTTGAGCATAAAACCACCTTTTGAATCCAAATCCCAAAGATTTTAGGCGCATTGAGCCGTAACTATTTCATCAAAGGCCAGAATTTGCTGACACCTGGTGGTAAAAGCACCTAACAGCAACATTTTTATCCTGTTCACAAATAGATTTTTATGTCTCTTCTCTAAACTTTGGTTTGAAGATGATAAGTGTTTGCATATATTTAGTGTTGGCATGGTAACCCACCTCATTCTGCAGGCGTTGCTTTTGAGCCTGCAGCTGGCAGAGGGTGCTCTTGTATTCCTCCAGCTGACTCTGGAGCCCTGGTAGTTTCTTCTGGGCCAACAGTTTCTCCTGCTCCTTCACACATTTAGCACAGATCCATAACAACATGAATTGTGTTGCATGTTTACACAGAACAACGTTGGCTGGTGGTTTTATTTTATATTTTGAAAGGACTCCACACATAATTTGCCTGTGTGTGTGAATGTGTGTGTGTTCCACTGGTTCCAAGTGATCCGAGACAAGCTTTATTAACCATTGGCTTGCTTTTGCTGGAACAAACACAGCTCCATAACAAGGAACTGGGCTCACAGTTGTCGCCCATGGAGACTTAACTCAACCAATTAAACAATTGCTGCGTCTGAAGCGGCTTTGCTGCTGAGAAATATTTAAACAAACAAATCTCCAATCTTCTACTCTGACACCAGCCACCTAGGCGGACTGACAACAAAATTAGCGTGCGCAGTCGTTCTTCGTGGCATTTGCTTCATTATGTGCCCTGACACTTTTAAATTGCTCACCTGCGCAAGCCTTGATGAGTCACTGACTCTCTGTCCTCACTGAGCATCCACTCACAAATGTGCACAAAAACAGTTACATGTTCAGACCATCAGTTGGACAGAGAAGCCGGTAACCTCATCAGCCACAACACAAAGCAAGGCTGACATGCATGCAAACACCATCTCCTCCCTCAGGGGGAGTAGCACGCGCACACACACACACACACACACACACACACACACACACACACACACACACACACACACACACACACACACACACACACACACACACACACACACACACACACACACACACACACACACACTCACACACACACACACACACACACACACACACGAGTGACAACATTAGTGACTTTACCTCAGAGATGCCAACTGACACATTAGGACCAAGAGGGAGTGTCTGGTTTATTTGCTGCAAAATGTTTACATAAGTTTGGATCTCTGCAAGGTTCTGGACAACAAAAGAACAGAAGACATTTTAAATGTGGAAGGGAAATATACAACACAGCAAACTTAGTTGTTTTCTAGAATAAACTGTCTGAATCAGTCTAAGCAGAAAGGAAATTGGAAATCGACTACTGTGTTCATTTTTAACATTCATAGTTAACATGGATTCAGTAAAGTCCTTTTGTTTGCCCAAAGACATGGTCCAATATATCCCGTTGGTCATCGCACACTGGTGACATTGGTCCTATCCCCGTGGGGAGTGGTGAGCTGCAGCAGTGGCTGTGCTCGGGAACTATTTGGTGGTTTAACTCCCCAATCCAACCCCTTAAAGCTGAGTGTCAAGCAGGAAGACATTGGGACCTATTTTTAAAGTCTTTGGTTTGACCCAACCTCAATTTGAACCCATCTCCCAGCCCCCGGGCGGACACATACCACTGAGCCACTGAGCTGGAAGGTTTTCTTTTCAAATCCATTTACACCAGTATGGTGTATGACTCTGATAAACATCATCTAAACATTGTTTCTCCAAAGAGAAACTTCAGAGTTCAGCAAATCCAAATGTTCACGTGAAAAGCCTTCATGTCCTTTGTCAAGGTGCCTAAACACAGCAGTCACGGGATTAGTTCATCATCAAAAGCAGTGCTGAATGAAACTTAAAGTGAGACAAACTGCATGGGCACAGGAAATCTATTGAAAGTCCAACTGATGCACAGAAATTTCAGGTATTTTTTCCTGCCATTGTGTTCCAGTGGTTTCTGCTACACAAAAGGACATCTGTTAGTTTCTGTCTTTTCAGTCATGTGATGACAAACAAATGAAGTTGCTAAAGCCGCGGGTTGATCACAACACATTTCCTGGCACTCTCTTTAAACCTTTGAGTAATACTCTTGTTATTTTCACGTTATCAAAGAGTAAAATGCATTCTCTGGTTTTTATTTTTCATGTTGTGTTTTTTTTTATGTGAACTCTGCATCACTTTTCAGTTCTTGTGAAATAAAGCAATACTACTAAATTATTTAACAAACAAGCTAACGGGTAATCCCAGTAGCTAAAGAAATGATAAAAACACATCCTGTGTTGCATTAAGTTTACTGAGTTTTGGCGTTTTTATTTTGCTGCAACCAGGCATGAGCATAAATAGAAATGACTGCATTGTAACAGCTTGGTTACCTGCCTGAGGAACATATCTGACTGCAGACACATCGATATTTAAAGCTGCTGAGATTTCAAAATTACAAAAACAAAATCTGATCCCAACCATATGTCTTTTTGAGTCATTCCCAGTTTGTGAATAGATTTTGTGGATTACTGGTCTCTCTCCCAGCTGCCTCCCTGTCCTCCTGCTGCTGCACATGGGTGGCACAGAGAGCTTAGAATGGGGACCAAATGCGATCTTATCTGTAGCTGTGCAGATTCTGGGACATTAAGTCCATTTTCTGCAGAAATACTTTCCACGTCATGGTTCTGTCACAATGTAAATGATTATTATTTTTGTTTAAAAGAGATATTTTACTTGATGATTACTTTTGATACTCTAATTAAACCTGGTTTGAATCGGTGTAATGTAGCAAATTTTCCAAAGAAATTTAGAAATTTACCAAAATTATCTATTGTTGAAAAGTGGAGCTGATCAAGATCCTCTTGTGGTTACAAACTAAATATAATCAAGAAGATGACTAAAACTTTATTTCGTACATATTCATTCATTTCAAAGTTTATTTTACTTTTGCTGACCTTCTTGTGTCTGTCTCTGGTGGAATTTATGTCATCTTGCAGAAACTGAGACTGGATCTGATACTCCAGATTTCTTAGCAGAGCAGTGTCAGCCTCCTGCAGCGGAAAATAAAGAATGGCACATTCAAACAATTGTGCAGAAAAACTGTTAGAATAATAAAAAAACATATATATATATATATATATATATATATATATATATATATATATATACATTTTTCCACTATTGGTGAAAATAAACATTCTTTGTGTCAAACAATGGCAAAATCACTAAAACGATGTCATAAAGTACCTTATTTAAATTTTCCAGAGTGCTCCGCAGCTGCTCTTGTTGATCACACTCATTTTTATATCTGATAAACAAAACATCATGATGCTTAGTTCAGTGAAGGTTGACACAAAAGGCATGAAAATGGACCAAAATTAAAGAGACAAACATTTTCTTTCCAGCAAGTAAAAACAACAGAAACAAAACAAACTAGAAAACTGAATAATTTTCTGAATATTTTGATTTTTAACGATTTTGTTTGAGAAACGATGCACTGCACGCACCCAGTTTACACATCAGTGAATAAATGTCCAGCTGTTTTGAAATATCTATCATTGAAACTAAATTTCTCTTATGGAATTTCGTTTTTTCCTGAATGAGGACTTCCACAGGTTTTTGGTCCTTGTGCAACATTATAAAATAAAAATGCAGTAAAAACAATTTATTTCTGTTTTTATAAAAGCAATACTTGTGTTATATGCAGCTCACATCTCAGTATTTCCTACTGTTTATAATCAGTTACTGGACTTCTACTCTTTCTAATTTCCTCACAACTGTATGTTTCACATTTTCTTCTGTTTGCACAGCTAAATCTCATTGAACACTACCTTCATGTTACTTCGTTTTTCCTCCAGAGATTTTACTGTATCCCTTTGCTGCTGCAACAGAGAAAACTGCTCAGGACTCAGACAAAGGTTGTGATCTATTATTTTTACTTTCTTAGATTTCTAAGCCATCACTGACGTTGTTAGCTCTAATTACATTGAAGGACATTGAGGCACGCTCCATCTTCGGGATGAAACTTTGGCCTTTGACTTTGAGATAAAAGCTACCCTCCTCCTTACTTGTTGGTAAACTCATCCAGCATCCGGCAGGATTCCTTCAGCTCTCGCTCGAGTTTGGCTCGGTCAGAGCACAGCTCCCTGATGCGTTGCCTGTTGATACCAATCTGCTCTGTAAAGGTTTCCTCCAGGCCACTGGCCTCTTCCATCCGTTGCAGTGTCTCCAGCTGTTTACGAAACACGGCGTTCCGCTGCTCCAGGACTCTGGCCCGGTTGATGTATCGGGCAAAGCGACTGTTGAGCTCCTGCAGGCTCTCCCAGCCCTGGATGGCTGAGATGCCGGCAGAGGATTCAGGGTCCCTGGTGTCAACATCAAAGACGTCGGAGCGCTCATACTTTTCCTTGCGCACCTCGCGCCGGTAGCTGCTCTTATACATGGTGGTACACTTTCTCTGGGCTGATGGTCTCCCAGGAGTTCTTGGTCCCTTTCAGCACCGTTAATGAAAGAAAACTTGGGTGCTCACCCTTGGCTGTCTCATGCTAGACTAAACGCTGCAAAGCAATGCCTGGTAACCAGTGTGAGCCCATATGGCTTCTGCTGGCTCCCATGGCCTGTGTCACCAGTCCAGGACCTTCCAGGGTTTATTGTTGCCTTTGTTGTGGAGATTTGAAAGGCGATTCGGTTGATGACAATGCAGAAGCAAAAAAACAAACAACTGGCCATCCTGCGAAAGAACTGGGTTGACACCGACCATTATTTTGGTTCTTAGTCAGCTGCTTTGATACAGCGAGTTGGAATGCTGCCCCACTGCTGCTCAGAGGAGAAATTTCATGCCTTGCAGTTTGTACCATCACAGCAATTATTTTATTTTGCTGAGACAATGGGCTTGAAGCAGATGCACTGCAGTTAAATTTTTAAAAAAGTTTCAATTTTTCTCACTGATCTTCATATATCCATTTGTTCTTTCCTTTTTCTCTTTCTTTTTCTACATTGTGACCTTTTACAGACAGAGTGATGGAAAAAAGAGACAAAAGAGCTCTTCTCCTGGCTCGTTCTCCAGTCTACAAAACAAGGTCATCCAAAGTGTCTCTCAAAAGGAATCTATGTAGCTGTCTGGGAAACAGCTGAATAAAACGCACCTCAAATGGCTTTACATCCGTGATTTTAATCTGGGAATAAAACAAGAGCAGCCCACAGGTCACGGTTGGTCATGTAATAAGGAAATTACAGCGAGAAAACGAACCAAACAGCAGATAAATTAAAAGATTGCAATATTTTCCAGGTTTTCATGAATGATAAAAGGGATTGGGGGGGGGGGGGGGGGGGGTCAGTATTGTTCCTCGAGGCAAATTAAATTGTTTCATTGTGATGTCACACTCTTAACCTCCTGAGACCCGAATTTGTACTTGGTGGGATGTAAAATTGTAAAATAAATTAAAGAAAAAAACTGAAACGAAATATATTTTTAACTTAAAATCACTGTCAAATGTTTCTAAATTTTAAAAATAAGAAGAAGCCAATGTCCTCATATGTGGACACAGGGTCTCAGGAGGTCAGATCTACACACCTTTACCCAAACTCTGCAGAGAAAAGCACCAATAAATGCAACAGACAATCCCCAAAGGGGAAAATAAAAAAGCCATTTTTAGTTTAAACCCCCTGCTGTTCTGTTTTTGTCTTCCACATGAACAACCTAAACTTGTGCAAAGCTAAATGGAGTGGAGGCGTTTTAAAAAACACATCTGCCATCAGCTGGGGGGAAAAGATTCACTAATATGAGAAATTCTTCTTTCTGTCTAATTTTACAGTGACATTTGTGTATTTTTAACACTTGCTTGAGCCCAGTTCACTTTGGTGTGGCAGATTTTGAAGTAACACTGAATTTTGAAGGTTTAAAGAACCCTGAACTAGATCTCCTTTTCTGTTCTTCACATATATAATGGAGTGTTTTGTTTCAGGAGAGGATACTTGAGTAGAAGGATCATTAAAGAGCGCCTTGAAAAAAAAACTTTAGAGCTGACACATTGGGACCAGATCAAGAGCTATATGACAAATCAGCAATTTGAGGGATTCAGAGACACCACTGGGAGGCTGGTGTCCAGCTGATAGCGGGCATGGATCTCATCATATGTGGCTGCCGAGAGTTGGACATGATGACAAACTGTCAAATTTGACGCGTCTTTCGATTTCATTGTTATTCAAATTAACCGAGTGCAGCAACGGTGTACCTATTCACTTCTTCTTAGTGGAATTTGCTTCTAGGGCGCACGCATGCACTGCTGCCCTCCGGTGTTCAAACTCGTGGATCTTTGACCGCAGTGAACCAGCGAAGCCCAATATCCTCGGTCAGCTTACCTAGTTTGAGTAGTTTCATTACTCAGCAGCCACACCAACACGTTATATTTCAACCCATCTTAGACCAAGCAGTGTTATGGTAAATGCATAGATTTTTCCCCATGTGACAGTGTGAGTGTCCTGTCACCGTATCCCGATTGATCATGCACCCTGGCCACTTGACCACGGGGATGTCCCTTTGGCTGTCTGGTTAATGCGCATGGCTCTCACCTGGGAGTCTGGGGATCGAACCCCACCCGGACCCCTGTTTCTCCACCTTGCCACACCCATTTATCCACAAACTATTAGTGAAAAAATTGCAGTTGAGCGACTCAAAAGTGGAGCAGCATCAACTAAAATACCTGCTGTGTTTCTGTGGTCTCTCTCAGAGATCCACATGTGACCAGCATGACTACAGCCTCACATCGGAGCCGGTCCGCCTGGCCCAGCTGCTCCGGTAAACGGGAACAGCCTGCTGCCTGCTCTAACATCTGTTCCTAGCTCTGAAGTCATGTGGCTCTTAAGCTCATTAATTATTCAGCATTTCAAGCATTTAATTCCACTTAAAAAGAAGAGTTACAAAAAAATTCACCCCCTCAGAGTTGTGATAAATGTAAACTAGATCTATTAAACCTAAAATGCTTTTTTGAACCAGGCTGTAAACATGTTTATTTCTGCTGTAAAATTGGCATTTTTAACATGGGAGTCATTGAGGATTTGCTCACTTCTGGTGCCAGCCCCTAGTGGATGAGCGTGGAACTGTAATTTTTGCCACTTCCATGATGACTTCAGGTCTGAGAGCCTGTGTTCAGTTCAATTTCTCCTGTTGGATTGGAGGGGGAGAGCATTCCATATGATTTCAGAAATCTTTCCGGGTCAGGCAATTTGGAGGAGGGAGCAGATGGGTAAAAATCATTTTGACGAGGCTCTGGATAGGTCAATCAGGGTTTAATGACACTATGCTCATAATGGGTAAGTGCCAACTTCAGTTGCTGTGGAGTTGCAGAAACTGTCAAACATGTCCTGAAGTTCTGTGATAAGTATGTGTAGCATCCAGAAATGGTCAGCTTTCATCCATAATTTGGCCTTTTCAGAGAGAGGTCATCTTCAGACATTAATCGGCCTCTTTGCGTCTTCCAATCTTCCGAGCTGCAAGAAAGGTTCTACAGTGCGTGTTATTTATTTATTTATTTAAACATAATTTTATATGGAGGAATAACCACTTGAGATGAAACATCTCGTTTTCGAGTGGGTCATCCTTTACAACAAAAAGAAGAACAAAAATTAAGAGCAAGACAGCAGAGCAAAAATCGAAATCCAAACATTACAACAATCATTTAAAGACACACACACACACACACACACACACACACACACACACACACACACACACACACACACACACACACACACACACACACACACACACACACACACACACACACACACACACACACACACCCTCAAAGGCTCACAATACTTCATCCCATGCACACGACATGACCCCAACTAGCAAGGACAAAACAAAAGCAACAGCCAGTTGAACAAATACAATTAGTAACATAGACAATTATTCCTGAAGATGATCGACCAGAGCCCTTCGAAAAGTTGTGAATAATGATAAACAACAAATAGATAAAGGAAGATTATTCCAATCACATGGAGCTTTGAAACCAAAAGCATGTTTCCCTACCTCTCTTTTCACTCCAGGAGCAACAAAAAAGATCTGGTCATTATGCCGCAGGCTGTAAAGTGAATTATAGGGAATTAAATGTATTTTAAGATAATCCGGATAATTAAAGTAAAAGGTTTTAAAAATGAACTGAAACCAGTGAAACTGTCTCCTGACAGCAGGTGCGAACCAGGACAACTGCCGATACATCACACTTCTATGTGTCCTAAATGGACAACGAAGAACAAAACGACAGAGGCTATTATAAGCAACATCAATAGAGTGCAAACAGGAGGATGAAGTGTTCTGATAGATAATGTCAGCATAGTCCAGAATAGGCAGAAGCAGCTGTGTGGCGATTCGTTTCCTAACCAGAAAGTTAAAACAATCAACAGATTAATACTTAGATTGTCAACATCATGTTCCGTCCTCAGGGAGTCTCCACCGAGCTGCTCTTATCTATTCCTTGCTTCACAGAAGAAAAGATAAACTTTCGTAATGAAATCATATAATGAAATGAACAATATGGTTAATGGAATCAGATAATGAATGGACAAGGTGTTTAATGAAATGTTTTGATTAACCGGTGCTTAAATTAAGAAGGTTGATTAATCTGTGCTTAAAATAATATGGATGAAATGAATGTGTTCTCACAATGACCCATCTATTTAATCAGTGTACGTGATGAGACAAGTTCACACACTCACCATATCTCCATGACGCAGGTTAAAGTAATTGCATGCACATAGATATTTTCTTATTCACAAATCAGAACATCTTTTGTATCTGGAAAGGGCGCGGGTTCTAAGGTTTGTTTGTTAACACCTCTTAACCTCTTTTGCCCTGATTGGCCACGCAATCATAATATGAGAATTATTAAAACAGAACTCACTTCCTGAGTGATTCAGTTCGAGTTCGAGTAGACCTTCAGAGTGGCCAATCTGAAAGAAACTCTTCGAACCATCAAAGCTTTCGACAAGCTGTCAAAGCTACCTGCTGCGACAGAGAAACGTGCTCCTTCAGCTATTTAGAAACAGCTGTTCTAGACGCAAATGATTTCCTCTATCGTTGTGACCCGGAGGCATCCCAGGATTGACTTGGTCGCATCGAGGTTTTGTCAAAGTTGGGCATTTTATGCAGTGCTCCTTTATTGTGCAGAAGTCAGTTTTGGCTGTGGTTACCAATTGCATGTTTTTTTGAGATGTTTGCTTGTTTACATGCATGGATTTGTTTTTTGTTTTTTGAGCATGGGACAATGAACTTCGGATTGAGAGCAGCTGTGCAGCTCATAATCACAGACCTATATGGCTCGGAATTGGACCCTTGAGGGGTTTGGACCTTTTAGAAGGACACTGACAGGTGAAGGAGGGGTGTGCAGTGGAACGGGGAAAGCAGCAACAGAGCAACAGCGGGATCTGCGCTCCGGAAACCAGCTTGGATTGCGGCACAGACACTTTCTGTCTCCTGGGAGAGACCAGAGGATGCCGCGGGAGGATCCAGCCATGAAACCAGAATAATTCAACGCCCGCCAAACAGCTAAGTAAAGGAACGTGAAATATTGTTGCTGTAACCTGCGTGCCTGTGGATTCTGGGGAGAAGTGAACGCCCCCCCTGAGGTATTTCCTTGTGTTTTTCTCGCAGTGGCAGAGGAGGAGCCGAGGAGAGAAGAGGGGCGGGAGAGCGGCACACCCCCGGCTGATGACGCGTTGGAGTGGATGCAACCATTGACGGAATGAGGCAACCCCAGAAGAGGAAGTTGGGCCATATTTGGGAGATTATCATCATCAGTGGAGACTGAGGGAAATCTGTGGAAGCCCCCCCCACCCCCCCCCCCCCCACCCCACCCCCCACCCCCCTTTGTTTTATTATGCTTTTAGTTGTGGCCTTGTTTTACTTTAGTGTGTTCTTTTAAATGAATTTTTTACAGTTTTTTAATCTCTGATCTGAATTTTTATCTTGTCAGATATTTATTTATTTATTTAAATACTGTACAGCACTTTGGTCAGCTGTCATGCTGTTTTTAAATGTGCTTCATAAATAAACATAGTATGGTATGGTCATCTGTTTTTCACATAAAATACTATGTAACCAGTTTTTTTGTGCTTGCTTTGTATTATTTTTTTAATTTGTTGCATATAGATATGCATGTACTCATTTACGTAACCGCATTTCCTTTTCTACAGTTGGACATCGCACAAAGCAACTCCAGTGCTGCAATTTAACAAAACAAAAGAAAAGGTTCGAAAGGACATTATAGACGCTGCTGTTTTCCCTCACTCAAAACCAAATTTCTGATTAGATTTTCCTTTCAGACAGCTCCTTTTCCATCTGATCAAAGCTCCACAAACACATTACGAGCTGCATGAAAATGGAGAAAGAGGTTTCTCTTTTTCAGTGGCAAGCCAAGCTCAAACATGATGGGACTTTTCATTTGGTTTGCTCTTGTAAGACCTGAAAGAAGAACTCCTGCAGCTTTTTTGATTTGTTGTAAACTTCTGAAATGACTTTGAAAAGACACATTTTGTAATGAAGAAGATGAAACAAATGTCTTAAAAGCTCCAAGCTCTGCTTTTTCCCTTTCACCAGAGCGAGGGTGTGAGCCACAGAATTACAGAGGGGTGAATACGAACGGTAGAGTAAGTTGTGTACAGTAAAATCCTGCACGACAGTCTCAGTTTACACGAGGATCGTGAAAGCTCTTCTTCACTGTGCTTCATCAACCAAAGAACAGGCAAGTAACCCCTTAGAATAACAGTATTAGTTGATTTTAACCAAATCACAGTATCTTTGTTAAACTTACTCATTTTCTCTTCCATCTTTTGTACGATTGATGAAAGAGGCTCACTGTGGATCCTCTGATGTTTTTCCAGAGTCTGCGGTGCCATTGTGACTGAACTAAACCCTTCTTTCTCACAGTTATGGTTTGTCACTTTATTTCATGCGTTCCTGAGTCATAAAAAGGCCTTGAAAGCTTCTACAACAGTGGACTGACAAAGTATTTACATGCTTTGTGAAATAATGGGATATTTTGTCTCTTTCAGCACATGAATGGATATCCCCACCCCAAAAGGGAATAAAATGAGGACACAATGTTTTAGAAGTCCCAAATTGCTTCTAAATAACGTTTTCACCAAAACACCCAACATATTTGCACATGTTGATTAGTCTGTTGGCTATCAAATCTCTTGAGATGCTCTAAATAAACACAGACCTGGTGCTTATTGTCCAGCGGAACACGACAGGCTTACCTCTGCTTTAGAAAGCATTCAATAAATCAACATGTTGGAGGCTAATCTTCATGTTTCTTAGACTTTAAAACTGTGAATTCACAACACATAAAAAAACTCATCGCCGCAATATCAGTGAGCTCTATATTAATATTACTAGGGAAACTGGGAAGCTGTGATGTTTCCAGCTGAGATCCACATATAATCTACAAGCTGATGATTTATTTAGCCAATAGGATGAACCCTGATTTCCCTTGATGCTCACACCCAGTTTAGATGATGCTGGCTGAAGCAGATGGATGGAGAGTGTCATGCTGACAGAAGAAAATGTAATCTTTGATTGTTTATTGCAAGTGAAATTGACATTACATTCCATGTGCCAAGAGCCAGCTTCTGTAGCCAAGAATCAGAGCGCCAAGGTCCCCGCCCTCGACTACCACCTGCCACACACTGCACCCGACCCCTTTGGCCCCTCCCACGAGTGGTGAGCCCATGGAAAGGGGGACCCATGTTTCCTCTTCGAGCTGTGCCCGGCCGGGCTCCATATGCGATAGCCCAACATGTCCTACTTCCAGACCTGGCTTCAGATGGGCGCCACGGTGATCCGCGTCCGGGCGAGAGAACACGGTTTCCATTTATATTATTCATCATAAGAGGTCTTTGGGCTGCTCTTTGTCTGATCCCTCACCTAGGACCTGTTCGCCATGAGTGATCAGGCATAAAGCCTCAGACAACTTAGCTCCTAAGTCTTGTCTTGTCAAGGTCTTGTTCACAAGTGAGGGAAAGCTGGAGTGCGAGATTATTACGTTCCTCAGCTCGTTTAGGAGTGATGTGGTGCAGGGAGTAATAAAAAAGAGTGCGTGGTTAATAATAACAAAGTCAAGTGTCGCTGAACAACGGATTTTATTAAAAAATAATGGACTAAAAGATATTTACAGTAGAACGAAAGACTAAATATGTACACACGAAAACAAAAGGAGCTATGTGCAAACGAAATGGGTTTCAACAGAACGTGCCAGCCCATAAGGGGCTGGGAATATTAATCCTATCACCACCATCTTGGCCTTGTCACGTCTTGTCACACCCAGACAATCCAAAACTGCAAAAAGAGGTGGAGCTTAGAGTGGAAACTGTGAGGGTGGGAGCAAATGAACCAATGTAGCTACTAGTTAACTGAGCTATCCCCTGAAGCTAAGACAGAGCCAGGAGTAAATATTGACTGTTCAGCTGCCCCGTCTCCCAGAGTCAAGTCATGCTGGTCACCTGTGGAGCTCTTATATGGACTGTTGAAATACAAGCAGAGCTACAGACAACTGCAATTGAATGTGAGTTCATGCTGCTCCCCTCCTGCAGTTCTTGCCATTTCTGTGTGCTTCAGCTCTGGGTTGGCAGGGTTCTGTAACACTGTTTTTAACACTGTTTTTAACACTGATTTTCTTTCTTTTTGTGGTGACCTTGCTCAGTTTACCCAAACTAAACATATTTGTTGTTATGAGGAACACTTTGCCATTGTCACAAGTTTTACAATGCATTTCTCAGAACAGCAGTGTCTTTGTACATCTTCTTACTCTGAAGAAGCAAAGTTTTGCGATTCAAACTGCTGAAACCCATCTTTTCCCTAACGTGCAGGATTCTACGGGTCTAGCCTTCTCCTTGAACCTCTGAATGTTTCCCGCTTTTCTGCTTCCTTTTTTCTCCATTTGCCCCACTGACCCCATGTGAGTTTTAGCTCCAGGTTGTTCTCTGGACCAGAACACCAGGCTGACTGCTTGAAGACAGCATTCCCCCCAGCTCTGCTCATGTTGTCACATCTGCCCAGACCTAAAAAACCTCTGCCTTAGCATTCTCTTGTTTGTACAAACTCAATGCTGCTCTTTTTCCTTCGTCTTAAAAACCATTTCGGGTGCATTTGGCTGAACTTAGAGCCAACATTTTCTGCAGTGCGGCTCCGTAGAACTCTGATAGAGAGTCATGCACAACCCTATTGTAATTACAGGGGGAAAGACACATTTAGATTCAGCATCCTTTGTTTATAAGCAGCCAAATTCCTAATAACAAGTCTCCAAGGGGAGTGTTTGGTGGTTTTGCTGACAGTCTGACCCTTCAGTTACGTGCGGAGATTGTATCAATAAGCTACATTTGCATATTTTATTGATTTTCCTGCCCTTTGAACTTACAAAGGCTTCAATGTATGCAAGTGACATTTTTGTAACAAGCTTTGATTAAAACGATAAGTGCATCAAGACAATAAATTCATACCTCATTTACTTGTATGCAACAAATGATCATCTCATTCTGCATTCAGACACCAATAGGAGCAGTTCCTTGGGTAGAAATCAGAGCCCAAAATCTATGCAGGACAAAATACTGCATAATTCAAAAATGACTACAACCTACTCAGTGGACCAGTTCAACTATCAGATTTTGCTGATAAATTTCATGAGACTTTAAAGTTGCAGTATTGCAAAAAGCTGTTCAAATAAGCTATATTTAGAAAAAAGAATCACAGAATCTGATGGTCGTAGAAAATGGTACAACACCTGCATGAGACACACACACACACACACACACACACACACACACACACACACACACACACACACACACACACACACACACACACACACACACACACACACCAGGGCTGCCAACTCTGCATCTGACCCTCTCCACAGGCTCTCACACCACCTCCAATTTCTAATGCTGAAAAATCACACACACCCTTTCTTAACAAAAATCTTTAGGGTGTGTGTGTGTGTGCGCACATGCAAAATTGCAAAAGTAGACACACAAGAAAGAGGAGACACACAACTCTGCTGCTTAGTAAAATTTGTAAAACCAACACTGAATCAAACCAAATTTCCTTCATGACACCCCCCCCCCACACACACACACACACACACAATTCAGCATGTTAGCATACATAGCTTGCTTCCAGAACATGAATCCCACTCCAGCCTTTCTGCCTGTTTACATGTGCAAACACACACAAACACATCCATTGTTACACAGGGTTGTGTCCTGGTCTGAGATGAGTGGCACTAACCATCTCTGGAGCTTCTCATTGCAGATGGGGGTTCCTAAGGAGCAGGCACAGCTGTCGCTGATTCCCCAATCATCCGTCAGGGATTTAAGGAGCTGTGGGACACCTACACCTCCCTGGAAGATTACTCACGTTGGGTAGCTCTTGCCAAGCCTTCTGTATTTTGGACTCAAAGTGTTTGAACCACTCGTGTGATTTTATCCTCTCTTGTGCAACTCCTCTCAGGTTCTGTCATCGCCTCTTGTGCCTCTTCAAAACCTGCTGGATTTCAGTAGCTTCTACATCACACCTCTAGCTCCTCCTGACCTCCCACCTGTCCTCCCCCAGTGTCCTCGACCTCTTGGATTCCCTCGCCCAGACCTGACCAAAGCTCCTTCTCTGGCCTCTATTTAATTTCTGGCCTCGTAAGACTTCGTCCTCAGCCCTTCATTCTCAACCTCCATAAGAGATTAACTTATACTACTATGCTTCCAAATGACTCTCACCGTGTCCTCTTCATTTCTGCAAGAATTATCATTGTTTAACCAGTTATTACTACACTCAACAAAAACATAAATGCATCACCTTTGTTTCTGCTCCGATTTTTCATGAGATGGACTTAAAGATCTAAAATTCATTCCAGATACACGATATTACCATTTCTCTCAAACATTGTTCACAAATCAGTCTAAATGTGTGATAGTGAGCACCTGTGCTTTGCTGAGATGATCCATCCCACCTCACAGGTGTGCCACATCAAGATGCTGATCTGACATCATGAGTAGTGCACAGGTGTACCTTATACTGCCCACAATAAAAGGCCACCCTGGAATATGTAGTTTTTTTGCTTTAAAGGGGGTCTGGGGACTCAGAACCGGTCAGTATCTGGTGTGACCACCATTTGCCTCATGCAGTGCAACACATCTTCTTTGCATAGAGTTCATCAGATTGTCAATTGTGGCCTGTGGAATGTTGGTCCACTCCTCTTCAATGGCTGTGCGAAGTTGTTGAGTATTAGTGGGGACTGGTACATGCTGTCGTATACCCCGGTCAAGCACATCCGAAACATGCTCAACGGGTGACATGTCCGGTGAGTATGCTGGCCATGCAAGAACTGGGACATTTTCAGCTTCCAAGAATTGTGTACAGATCCTTGCAACATGGGGCCGTGCATTATCTTGCTGAAACATGAGGCAATGTTCATGGATGTACGGCACAACAATGGGCCTCAGGATCTCATCACCGTATCTCTGTGCATTCAAAATGCCATCAATAAAATGCACCTGTGTTCTTCGTCCATAACAGATGCCTGCCCATACCATAACCCCACCACCACCATGGGCCACTCGATCCACAACATTGACACCAGCAAAGCGCTCACCCACACAACGCCACACTCGCTGTCTGCCATTTGCCCTGAACAATGTAAACCGAGATTCATCCGTGAAGAGAACACCTCTCCAACGTGCCAGACGCCATCGAATGTGAGCATTTGCCCACTCAAGTCTGTTACGGCAACGAGCTGGAGTCAAGTCAAGATCCTGATGAGGACGACGAGCATGCAGTTGAGCTTCCCTGAGACGGTTTCTGGCAGTTTGTGCAGAAATTGTTTGGTTATGCAAACCAATTGTTTCAGTGGCTGTTTGAGTGGCTGGTCTCAGACGATCTTGGAGGTGAACCTGCTGGACGTGGAGATCCTGGGCTGGTGTGGTTACACGTCGTCTGTGGTTGTGAGGCCGGTTGGATGTACTGCTATATTCTCTGAAACGCCTTTGGAGATGGAAATGAACATTCAATGCACGAGCAACAGATCTCCTTGACATTCCTGCTGTCAGCATGCCAGTTGCACGCTCCCTCAATGCTTGTGGCATCTTTGACATTTTGCTGTGAGACACAACTGCACATTACAGGGTGGCCTTTTATTGTGGGCAGTATAAGGTACACCTGTGCACTACTCATGATGTCGGATCAGCATCTTGATGTGGCACACCTGTGAGGTGGGATGGATTATCTCAGCAAAGCAGAAGTGCTCACTATCACACATTTAGACTGATTTGTGAACAATGTTTGAGAGAAATGTAATATTGTGTATCTGGAATGAATTTTAGATCTTTAAGTCCATCTCATGAAAAATCGGAGCAGAAACAAAGGTGTTGCGTTTATATTTTTGTTGAGTGTAACTTAGCTGCATTCCCAGACAATAACTCCAAAACTTCTCATGCACAGAGGTTATGTACAGCAGGATGAGAAACGTTCAGAGGACAGTTTGATGGATTAGTTATGTTAGTTATGATGATTAGTTATGTTTTGGAGGGGAATCGGTGGTTCATCCAGTATTGTACATTTCAGAGGCAATCTTTTCTTTATTTTTTCTGTTTTGACAAATCCTTTGATTTATTGGTTGCCATTGGTATGTAAACTGTATTTTAAACAATATAGCAAACATGCTCCACAAATCTCAGACGGTACCTGGTACGGTGGTGTAATTTTAAATGGCCAAGTCTTTGTTCACCTCTTGTTTTGGCTTGATTGTTTACTTGTGGTTTTATTCTTTTCTGTGTGTGTTTTTTAACCTTTTCTTGGATTTCTTTTCTGTGGTATGGTTCTTGTTGTGTCTGAGCTTTTTGCAGTGCTACGGTTAAAGGTGCATTATGTAGAAACAAAGTAAAAATTACATCTTGTGATCAAATTTGGTTACTGCGACCATTTTAAACAACTGGAGGTTTTTACCGACCATCATTAAATTACAAGTGTTGGTGCTGCAGTAGCTCACAGGAGACACGGCACACCCACACTCACTGATGGTGAACAGTAGTTACATCCCTCCTTCCTTTATTTTGAAAGGAGAAAAACTGACAACCCCCGCAGCCAGCTGGATATGAAATAAGTTTCAATATAACCTTCCTTCCAAAATGACTGAAACATTAGACTTTTTGGGATTTTCTCACTTTAAAAGTCTCATTATATTCTTACATACTGCACCTTTAAATGTCATGCTATTCTTAAATTGTGCTATGCAAATAAGCTGGTATGGTATAATACCTTTAAGAAGAGCCTTTTTTTTCTGTTCACATGAGTTTAAAATGAGTGGTGCACATACTGTATGTTGATCCAAAAAACAGAGTCGAAACAACATTTAAACATCAGCCCACTCTTAGATCTAGTGAAGCACCACATTAGCTCCCCATGGCTGATCATCATGTTGGATGGAGGGCTGAAGAGCACCAACCAGCCGTAGAGTTATTGATCTGAAAACTCACCTGGTGTGATGACATGTTGTGATCAGTGGATGTTGATGCAGCTAGCACAAACAAAACCCAAAATAAAGACTTTTCCACCCAAAATGTAGATGGAATTCAACCCAGTCAACCTAGTTATAACATTATTTTTGGTACTCATCACAAAAAAATCCTACTGTGCTTGACACCATTTCCAAGTTGCATTGTTCTGAATTGATCTTAGTGTGCATCAGGAAGCACGCTCCAGTTTTTCAGAGATAATTTCCACCTGGCTTGGATAGGATATTAGATTTAACTGTGCAGACGAGATAAAAGACCATGTGGACAAATATAAATATTCAGGCCTCAGCATACACACCAAACCCAAAATGTTATCAAAACCTGGAGAAATATCAAAACCATGACCCTGATGTGAATACTAATCTGTGCATTGCCATGGAGGAAGGGAACACTGATTTGTGCAGATTTGAATCATATGTTTTATGGTGTTAATTAGTGAACACATTTTATTTTGAAAGAAAGATCAGTGACATTCACTGGAGAAATGATTTCCACACAATGGACCTTTGTGCTCCAAAAGAGGGAAAAAACATGTCAAGTGGGTATAAAGGGAACATCTCATCCACAGCTTGATCATTTAAACCTTATTCACAGTTATTTCCTGTCGTTGAGGTCATATGAAAGATTTCCAGGTAAGAATGTGTTGAGTACCGTATTACCTAACTATTGCACTCACAGAAGCTAACTAATGAGCAAGAGATGGACAAAAATATATTCAAATGTTCAAAAAGAGGATAGGCTTATATAGAAAATAATGATTTACAATGTTAATGGTCAGTTCCCCTTTGTGCATGACTACGTTTTTCAAACGTGAACATTTTCCTTTTGTATCCAAGCCCCCAGATGCCCACTTCTGTGGTTTCTGATTTCCTTCTTTTCATCCTTTCTTTGCAGTTTTGCCCATAAACTTCTTTGCAATCTGGCCACCTTCATGCAGACGCTATAGATTAAAGGTCTTGTGCATATTCTCTATGGATGAAGACATATGCCTGCATGAGGAACGTCTGAGCGCTGCTCTCTTTTTCATCTCTACTGACTGGTTACGAGCAGCAGTAAATCTGCAGGCTGGGTGAGATCAGAGACCTGTCCATAGCTGGAAATGAAAGCCTCGTGTTAATCCTGCGAGTCAAATCTCCTGCCTCTATGACAAAAACCAGTGAGGCAAAGGAAAAAGCAAATATTTATTTTATCCCTGTGGATGTAAAGTGAGAGCAGGATATGTTAAAGGAAACTAGTTTCTTCTCTTCCTGTGTGGATTAGATCACAAGACGTCTGCAGCTTCATTTGTGGCTCTCGTTATTCATTAATATGTTGGAAGTGCCCATCACACCTGATGCGAGAGGACACAAAGAGCCATGCTGCTGCTATTGACACATGATTGTCAGAGGAAATGTAGAAAACAACGGCGCTATCTGTTCATCACAATAAGAGATTGATCTTAGAAAGTCATCATTGCTGTGTGTTTGCAGAACCTGCTGTTCAGGATGGTTGAGCATAGACAGATGAAGCTGAAACCCTTTCACAACTCTGCTGACCTTTAAGTGCAACAAACAAAGGATGTTTCTTTATTCTCGGGACTAGAATGTACATACTTACCTTACATCTTGGCTTCTGACAGGGCCTTAAGTGTGACATTAATGATGTCACAAATATGCAACATGATGTGCAAGTACAGGTGAAACTGGAAAAATGAGAATATGGTGAAAAAGTCAATTTATTTCAGTAATTCAACTTAGGCCCAGTCCCAACACTCACAATTTCACCCTTGCACCCTTTGATTGCGCGTTCCCATCCTTTCGCACCCTTTATCCGCACTTCGCCGAAGTCCGCATTAATGCCCAAAACTTACGAGTATTTGATGACAGAAAAAAATATTATTTCACACAAAGATGGATTGTTTGCTTTCTGGTCTATGTTTGGTCTGGTCTGGTTTATGTTAAATAAACAAATAAATAATAATGAAATGCATAATTAAGTGTTAAATGCTCATGTCTTGACATTGCAGATTAGAATTAATGAAATCCCTGAAAAGCACTTTTAATCCCTTCAGAATTTCAAATTAATGAAACATTCAGTAGCACCTCCTTTTACAGTCCCATAATTACTAAGTACTTACATAGTATTTACATAGTAAGTTAGGTATATTATTGTGAAATTAAAGTGTATAATTGTAATAAAGTGTAATTATTGTGTAAAGCAGTATATACTTGGAAAGAGTAAGAAAAATAAAAAGTAGAATTGAACCTGAGTTACATGGCAATAACTGTTTATGAACTCAGAAACAATAATACACTTTAACTTACAATGTAATTACCATGTAGGTACTTAGTAATTAAATGTTACAGGATTTGCCAAACTCGCTAAAATGTGAATGGAAGCTCTGTGTGAGTAGTGCGGGCATGATTTTTCCATGAGATGAACGTCAGGAATGGGCGTGGAAAAAAGGCATTCACTGAGGGTGGGGGAGAGCGCGAGAGTGCTCTGGGGAGAGTGAGTAGACGTAGCTAGAAGGAAGCGGTAACGACCAGGAAACAGTCTGTAAAAGTTGGGTTAATGGGGGGAGGGCAAAAGATGGCGCTCTGAGTAGCATGTCCGTCTAGGAGCTCTCACTGTTTCCCTCGAAATTGCAAAGTAAATAGCCTTTTTACTCTCATTCAGTTGGCTAAAATATTGTCGCTAGAGGAGTGAAGTCATCTTATGCATTTATGAGCTTAAAGGATCACGCTTACTGTGTGGAAATGTCGAGTGAAAAGTCCGTGAGCGGGAGCAAACGTGTTGCGCCGCCGACTACTCCTAACAAGCCTCAGGTGCAGTCCAAGAAGAAAAATAGGGCAGAGGAGGATAAAGAAACTGAAGATGGGGACTCTACACTGATAAAGATTCTAAATGCGGTAGCCAACCTGTCTGACAGATTTGATATGCAAGAAAACAAACTGGAAAGTTTCGCCACCAAGATGGAGGAACAGCATAGCATGCTAACGGAGCTAAAGAGAGAAGTCGCGGAGAATGAGAGCAAAACAACGCTGCTGGAAAGTGAACTGGTTAAAGTACGAGAGGAGTTGCTTGCAACAAAAGAAAAGTGTATGGAACAAGAAAGATATAAGAGGAGATGGAACCTACGACTTAAGGGTGTAAGTGAAAAAGACAACGAAGACATAAAAGGCACTGTAACTGCTATTCTGAACAAAATCGCCCCGGGAGTCCCGTGGAGCTTCCAGGATATGGTGGACACTGTGCATCGTATCGGGAAAAAAGATGCTCTCCATACAAGGCAAGTAATTATTCAGTTCGTGAAGAGAGAGTGCAGAGACCTCATCTGGAAGCTTTCCAAGAACTGTGATGTCTGCAAGAAAAATGGTCTAAGATTTGCAGAAGATCTGATTCAGGAAGACAGAGAAGCGAGAAGGCTGCTGTGGCCGAAGGTGAAGGAGGCGCGGGAGAAGAACAAGAGAGCATACTTCAGAGGACCGTTTGCATTTATTGAAAACACCCAGATTTTCCCCTGAAGAAGGAGATGGGGACGGCTTTCCGAATGAGTGGCGAAGTCATTTAGAGGGACAGTTCTACTATTCACTAAGCTAGTCTTCTTTGGTGAAATCTTACATTCCTGTTATATCTAATTTAGGGTTTGTTTGTTTTTTATCTAATTATTTGTTTGTTTGTTTTTTTCACGTTTTTGCTTTTTGGGTTTAGATCTGTTTTGAATTCCTTATGAGTTCAAGAATATCTTTTATTTCATTAAACGCAAGAGGACTAAAGGACATTACCAAAAGAAAGGCATTATTTCTATTCTGTAAGGAACAAAAAGCACAAGTTATATTTCTTTAAGAGACTCATTCGTGTGAAGACGGCAAGGCGTTCTGGAAGACTCAATGGGGAGACAGCATCCTTCTTAGTCATGGATCCAACAAATCTGGAGGGGTGGCGATCTGTTTTAACAACTATCCGGGTAAGATTGTGGAATATAAAGCAGATTCAAAGGGTCATTGGATAGTTGCTGTTTTGAATTGTGAGGGTGTTTTGTGGATTATTTGTAATGTTTACGGATATAATTTGATTACAGAAAACAAAATATTCTTAAATGAAATTTCAAAAATTATTGGAGAATCTAAAGTTAAATATCCAACAGATAATATATTGGTTGGAGGGGACTTTAACTGTGTTCCTGATGAATGGATGGATAGATATCCCAATAAATTCTCTACACGTTTATAATCCAACATTGAGAAGTTTTTGTGTAAACAACTCGCTGTCAGACGCTTGGAGACATATTAACCCGTGTGTTAGACAATTTTCATGGATACGTGCAAATGGTAATAATAAGTCAAGAATTGATTTATGGCTAGTATCTCAAGCTATTTTAGACCATATCTCTCTTGCTGAAATATCGGCAGCCCCTGTTACGGATCATTGTGTAGTTTCTATAAACTTAATTCCTAAGACAGGAAATATAAGTAGAAACGGATACTGGAAATTTAATGCGTTATTTCTGAATGATGAGGAATACTGTAAAATGATTAAGAAACTATTATTGTCCGTCATAGAAAATCCTCATCTTGATTCTGCAGGGAAGAAATGGGAATTCTTCAAATATGAAGTCAGAAAATATTCTATTAATTATGGTAAAGAAAGGAGGAAAAACAATAAAGAAACAGAAAGACAATTGTTGAGGGATTTGAATAAACTTTGCGGAGATTGTACACTTTCAGATACGAATAGAGAGAAATATTTAAAACTTCAATCAAAACTGGACGAGCTTTATTTAAATAAGGCTAAAGGAGCTTTCATTCGGTCAAGGGCAAAATGGATAGAAGATGGAGAGAGGAATAGCTCATATTTTAGTAAATTAGAGAAAAATAGACAGACAAAAAATGCGATAAATTCACTAAATATTAATAGTAAGTTAATTAAAGATCAAAGAGAAATTTCAGTCAATATTTATAATTTTTACCATCAGTTATACTCTTCTCACTTTAAAGAATTAGATTCCGTAAAATTCTTTAATTACATTGAAAGGTTTATCCCTCAAATTAATTTAGAATTTAAAGAAGAATGTGATATGGATTTGAATATTTCTGAACTTGACAAGGTGATTCAAAAGGTAGCACTGGGTAAGTCTCCTGGCCAGGACGGTCTAACCACAAACTTTTATAAATTCTTTTGGAAAGATATTAGAGAGCTACTATTTGAAGTTTTACAAGAATGTATTCGGAATAATTCACTCTTAACTACGATGAAACAAGGAGTAATAATACTGATACCTAAACCCAACAAAGATAAATCTAATATTGATAACTTAAGACCTATTATGTTGCTGAATGTGGACTATAAATTATTCACTCATACCTTGGCGAAATGAGTTTCCTCCGTAGGGTGGCCGGGCTCAGCCTTAGAGATAGGGTGAGGAGCTCGGACATTCAGGAGGGACTCGGAGTAGAACCGCTGCTCCTCCGGATCGAAAGGAGCCAGTTGAGGTGGTTTGGGCATCTGGTCAGGATGCCTCCTGGACGCCTCCCCGGGGAGGTGTTTCGGGCATGTCCTGCCGGCAGAAGGCCCCCGGGTCGACCCAGGACACGTTGGAGAGGTTACATCTCCAATCTGGTCCGGGAACGCCTTGGGGTCCTGCCGGAGGAGCTGGTGGACAAGGCCGGGGAGAGGACGGCCTGGAGCTCCCTAGTTGGGATGCTGCCCCCGCGACCCGGACCCGGATAAGCGGAGGAAGACGAGACGAGACGAGACCTTGGCTAACAGATTAAAAAATGGAATAAATGATTTCATTAGTGAAACTCAATCAGGTTTTCTTCCAAATAGACATATTTATGACAACATCCGTTTTATTCTTGATTTATTAGATTATGAAAATTTGGTAGAAGAGGATGGGGCTATACTGTTCTTAGATTTTTATAAAGCTTTTGATAGCCTCGAACATCATTTTATTATAAAGTCACTTCAGCACTTTGGATTTGGTAAAAAATTCATTGATATTATTACATTCCTATACAAAGATATATCGAGTGCAGTTCTTCTTTCTTCGGGTACGACAACCAGATTTCCAGTTAATAGAGGAGTTAGACAAGGAGATCCTATTAGTCCACTTCTTTTTATTATAGCAACAGAAATGCTGACTTTACTAATTCAAAATGATCAATCAATTAAACCGTTAACAGTGGCAGGACACTCGCTTAAAATAATTCAACTAGCAGATGATACTGCATTATTGTTGAATAGTACCAAGGAAATTCCTAATGCCATGAAAACGCTGTCTTTGTTCTCACAAGCCTCAGGTTTAAGGTTGAACGCTAACAAATGTGAAATATTAACAATTCATGATACTGAGGAGTTTCATATTTGCGATATCCCTATTAAGAATGAAATTAAGTATTTGGGTATGAAGATTAATAAAATCTTTAAGGAGAGAGTGGATAACAATATTCAACCGATAATTAATAAAAATCAAAAGATTCTAAATAGTTGGCTCCAAAGAAATATATCAATTTTTGGTAGAATACTCTTAACAAAAATGGAGAGCATATCTAGATTAATCTATCCTGCTTTTTCAGTAGCTATCCCTGACCAATATGTTAAGAGAATAAATAATACACAATATGACTTTATTTGGAATAATAAACAACATTTGATTAGGAAAAACGATCTAGTAAAACCTATAGAAGAAGGAGGTCTGAAAGTCATTGACTTTGAAGTAATGAATGGAGTTATTAAATTACAATGGCTAAAAAAAATTTTAATTAAGAAAGATTCTATCTGGTTTTGTATTCCTTCATTTCTGTTTGAGAAGATTGGAGGTATAGATTTTCTGTTAAAATGTGATTTTGATCCTCTTAAATTACCCATCAAACTTTCTAACTATATTAAACAAGTGTTGATGTACTGGAAAATGATCTACTCGCACAACTTTAGCCCACATTCCTCCTCTATATGGAATAACAGATTTGTTCTGTATAAACGGAAGTCCATGTATTATAAAAGTTGGATGGATAAAGGAGTTTGGGCCATAATGCAGCTGATGGACAGTAAGGGT